CCACTAACAAATATAATTATTTTTAAATATTTAATAACACATGAACGGACATCATTCTATATTTTAAATATATTTTCAGTCTATTTTAATAAAATTTTAAGCAAAATATTCTGATAGAAATTATTTTAAAAAAAGTAGAGAAATATTAGGTTTAATATTTATATCGATATTTAATTAGAATGTTGTAATTTTTTAATTTATTTTAAAAACCTATTATATATGATTAATTGTTATAGATTTATCTTATATTTATTTTGAGTAAAAATGGTGAATAAATTTTATTAAAAAGTATTTTTAATATATAACATTTACTTTAAAATTAGTGCTATATCTGTTATAATTTTTTAATTTAAAATTTGATTAGGATATTTTATATAAATTATATTATGATAGGTTCGAAAATTATTAAATTTATTTTAAATTAATAAAATAATTATTTATATATAATATTGATCTTAAATAAATATTATTTAGGTAAATTATTTCCAAATATCGTAAGTCGTAACATAATTTTTTTCCTTACTTTTAAAAATGGCAATTTAAGTTTCACGGTTTGGTGTTCCTCAGGAGCGCTTTAGGCCGTGGAAAACAGCTACTTGATTTTTCACCTTCGCAGTACGGAGGTCGGCGATGGAAATGGAGACCGAACATGTTAACTTCTACACGCAACACTAATAATAATTAGATTTGTCAATATTGAACAACGACAACATCAAGTCTTTGTCCCACTACATGGGGTCGGCTACATGAATCTTTTTCGTGTCCCACGTCCCGTGTCGACCTCGCGCGCGCACTGCGTCTCGGCCACGCCCTCGCTAGCCCCGCGTCCCACGTCAAGCACCAATTCCTCTACCCGGTTCAGGCACCAATTCCGCTACGCGTGGCTAGTTCTGCGTCAAGCCATCGCTTCTCCGTGGGTCGGGTCAGGTTCGGGTCCAGAAAATCGACCCGTTTATAAAAAATGGGTCAGGTCGACCCGAACCCGAATAATGCCGGATCAATTTCGGATTTGACCCGAACCCGACCCGTGACCAGAAATTGACAGCCCTATATTTTATGTTAAAATATTCTCATAAAAAATTAATTAAAGAAGATTTTTAAATTTTTAAAAATTAGTATAATACCTAAATAATTAATATGATGCTCATCTGAGAGCAGATTTATGAGCTTTAAAGCTCATCCAAATAAGAAATTTGATTAGGATATCATGACAGAATTTTTTTTTCTATTTAAAATTGAATTTAAAAGAATTAACAAGAAAATTTTAAAAATTAACAATATTTTCTATTAACATTAAAATTGGTTCATACACATTCTCAAAATTATTTTAAATAACTTGACTATCAAAATTTATATCTGTCAAATTATTTGGATTGACGAAATTAAGAGCTTAAAGATGGTACTCTGCCCTCTCTAATCGAATACTGCTAATTGTCTCTAATTTTTTGCTATGTCAGACTTCTCATATGTCTCCTTGGTAGCCCCCTATCTTATTAGGATAATGATCGAGTTGACCAACATTCATTGGACGGCTATAAACGTACAACGTCTCTAATTGTCTGACACTTTATTATTGGCTATCAACCAATGTTTGATGATTTCTATTCATCATCTGATCTTCAATGTTGTTGGATAAAGGCTTGATGTTGTTGTATCCGACCCCACGTAGTGGGATAAAGGCTTGATGTTGTTTTTGTATCTGATCTTCAATGTTCATTATCTGATGTCCACCATTGAATAATGATCATCATCTATCATAAACTTTATCATCCTTGTGCACCTTCTACCACCACTAGAGATATTCCTATAATATGAGTATTCTCTATTGTATTTATGCCTTCTCCATAAATGAGATAGAGTGAGTTTTTTTTTTTTAATTTTTGACTTAAACTAATGGAACTATTTAAGATTACTTAGGCCTTTGTTTTTACCTTATCTCAAATTTTCACATAAAAAATTCACTCCCTTGCATTTTGTGCAACTCTTATGTTTGAATGCATTATCTTCATATAATGTTAATGCAATAATTATCCCTTTAACATGCTAAATATTCTAACACGTGATAATGATAATAATCTTGAGTATCTCTTTCCTAGACGCTTCTCTCACTTTTGCTGATTAGGAATTGTTAATAGGAAACTACGTAGTCTCCTTACACAACTAAACATTTTATTGCCTCTATCAAGCAAACCCATCCATGCATTTTATTGTAAAATGCTTCCCCAATCTTGAAATTAAATAGCTATTCTTTGCTTCTCACTTGAATCCTCTTAAATTCCTTTTTATCTTATTTCTCAAAGTCCTTATCATATACTTCCTATAACTTTATTAGATTTCTTCTTGATTTCATTCTTGGTGCAAAGTGCATAGTCTTCTTATGGCACTTATGTTGAAGCCAGACATTGTTTATCCTTATTGTCAGCTTTTTTATCTTTTTAAAGAAAATTCATCAAAATCATTTCCTCTACATATGCACATTATTACAACTCCTTTAACATGTCTTATATTTAACATCTCCAACACAACACGTTCCCAACCTTTTTAATAGGCGGTGTATTTTCATAGTAGGTCTCTAGGAACATGTGCTCTTATTAAGCATCATTTATGGCACTCTCAAAGGGGATTCCCTTCCTTCTTCTTTTTGGGAGACTTTTCCTTTTTTTTCAAGAAGCACAATGCTTCATTTCTTCTTTTGACTTTAACACAATTAACTTTCATAAAAAAAAACATAGTTCTCCTTTCACGACATATTTCTCTTCATTTTTACTTGAAAACTCTATATATAATCATATGCATGTCTCAGCGTATAGTGATTATCCTCCTCTATTTGAAAAGAACATTAGAATCAATTGACAAATGGCTTTAGATTTTGATGTTTTATATTGTGCTTTTTTTTTTTCTTCTCTCCACTCTCAATATAAATACTTATCGTGATTGCTTTCAGAGTAAGGCTATTTTGGAGTCATTTTTAGACTTTTTCGTGAACTTGAATATTAGTCTTAATACTTCTCATACTATCCTTTTTTTTTCAAAAAATGGGGTAAAAATTATTGTTCATGAAAACAAGTGTAGCATTCAGTATAGTCAACATGCATGCAAGGAAGTACAAAATGGGCTTGATTGTTAGTTGATGAGCATCTCACTATGATGGTGCTGGAATGTGACATGGAAGACTATATATGTTAGTATATAATAGATAATGATTCATCATATGAAAGATATTTTAACATTGATATGAATTTTTATTTTCATAAATGAATGAAGTATGATAATGTTAAAGTGCATTTTGTGTTACATGTGATATAATGTAAATAACATATTTCAATTTAGCACCCTAATTCCTATCATAACATATATTATAATGAACATCAAGATATAATGTTACAAATTAATATTTATATAAATTATTATGAACATATAAAAGAAACATAACCACCTTTATGTTGATTTATAATTACTATGGCATGCACTATGCATTAATAGTAATGATTGACATATAACATATAATTAAATTTTAATGCATGTTCATGCATATTATTCTTCTAATCATCATGGAGTAATCTATTGGCTTTATTATTCTTTTACATATTTATCAATGCATATTTTTAGATAAAGATAAAATTAAGATGATATATGGACTGATTAATGTTTCAATTATATTATAATGAGGTTTTGAAGAGCATGAATTACAAGTTTTGGCTATGTCATAAGTTATGATATATTATAAGATTGATTTTTAGGGAAATCATAATTAGGAAGTCATGTCAATTTAATTCTTGAAGTATTTTTTTTTAATCTCAATTTATTAAATAAATAATAAAAATTATGCGAGAATATTATGATGTAAACACATTATGATAGGCTTTAAAATCATTCGATTTACGTTAAGATTAGTGCAATTTATGATATCATATAAAATACTAACCTTAATGCAAAGCTCATAATTTTGAAGCCGGCTTTAGCATATGAATATATTGATATTATTTTTTTCCTTAAATAAATCATTAAAAAATTTAAGAAGTAAAAAAAAAACTTTAATATTACAAGAATCAAATGAAATTTTAAGGTGTTCAAAATGGGTTGACGGGTTAGGCTCAGGCTGGACTAAAAATTAACCTGACTTGAATCCAGTCAATCTAAACTCAACTCGGTGAATAAATGGGTCAAAAATATTAAATTGAACCTGACCTGCTAGTAACCTGAATTATCCACCCAAACCTAGCCCATTACTTGTTTTGATTGTAAAAAAAACTTATAACTTATTAAGGTATTGTTTAGTTTGCTAAAAAAGGAATGCAATATAAAGAAGTAAAGAAAATACTTTGGACTTTGATAAGTGTAAAGTAAATTCATCTGAATAATGTTTTTTATTTGGTTTGAAGTAAAATCAATTTAGTGTAAAGTTCAACAATACCGGACATGAGTAGGCAGTTACCATCTTAGGGTGGTGGCGGTTGTCAAGCGGTAGCCAACGGTGGTGGCCTGAGGCTAGTGGAGTTGGACGACGACTGTCAAGCGAGTTTGCTTGAGGTAAAAAGCGTTCTCGCTCAAAACTGTCCGAACTTACTTTACCTCAAAAATAAATTCGAATGATTTACTCTATATTTACTTTACTTTAAATTCCTTTTTGATCTAACCAAATTCCAAAATTATTAAAATCACTGCATTTGAAATACTTTACTCTGTAAACTATTTCAATCAAACAACCCCTAAATAGAAAGTTTAAAATATTTGATAAAAAATAAGAAAATTATACCCATAAGTAAAAAAAAAAAGAAAAAAGAAAAATAATATTAAAGTAAAAAAAAATGAAAAATAATCTCAACTCTAACCCGTTCATTATTGACAAGCCCATTGAATTCCCATTCATAATTGCCATTGGACAGATGCAGATCGGGAGAGCGAGCAAACGTAGTCCGGCGGAGCACCCGAAGCGCTCAAATCTACCAATTTATTAATATAATATATTACCAGAAATTACTGGTTTAAACCCATGAGAAGCTAAAATATATAAGCATGGCGCAGTCATGCAAGAGAGAGAGAGAGTCAGGCAAGAGAGAGAGAAGAGAGATATAGATAGAGATATGTATTGGGACTGGAGAACCGGAGGAAGGAGAGAAAGGAGAGGACGAAGGGAAAAAAGATGGGAATTTGGATGTATGGGCTTTGAATCGGTTTAATCGGAAAGTAACGTAAACCATTGAACAGTCAGGTCTGCTGCTTCGATCGCTCCCCTTCATCGGTGGGTTGAGCGTAATCCGTCTTGGTTTTCTGTTTCGATTACTTGTTGCTGGTTTTGCGGTTGATTTCTGTGGGGGAAAGGGTTGGTTCTTGGTGGGAATGTGTGCCGTGGACGGAACTTCTTGAGTTATGTTGTTGGGATTGTTTGGTTTGGGAGAGATGGGTTTCTTCTTTTTTGCTTTTTATTGTTCTGATTTTTTTCCTGGGAGTTGATGAATCCCACTTTCCCTTTTCCTTATTTCTGGTGGAGTCGCGTTTGACTGATTTGGTTTTTTTTTTTTTTTTTTTGTCGATTTGAGCTGAAATGCTTTGATTGGCTTCTCTTAAAGATCAATCGGAAGTGGCGATGGTGCAGTTTTGTTTTGATTTTAAATTTGCAACGTTTTTTTTTTTTTTTTTGAAGGTTGAAGAATTTTAGGAGTTATTACGTTGTTTCTAAAATTATCCTCCTTTATGCTGGTGCTGCTTCTATTTTCTCCATACTTTTTTCCGCATCTGTCCATAGCAGGCTTCATGCGCTATGGATTTTACCGGCTTTAAAAAGATCTCTTTACTTTAATTTTTCTTTGTTTTCGCTTGTTATCTCTGGCATGGCAGTTATTTTTAGTAGCTCTTGATCGCAGTTGTACTGTTAAAATTATTCTATTTTGGGGCTATGCAAGTAGGTTTCCATAAATCTGGATTTGTATAACGCCACTGATCCTTTAATTGATCGAAACAACTAAAATATTGAGGTTTCTGTTCAACGACTGACGTGGTTCTTGGTCCAATCCATAATTTTTATATATTTTTTTTTCTGCTGTGCTTGCGATCAGATAATTTCCTAGCCATTACCGCTGGTCAAAACCGCAGATTGTCACATATTGTAACTTTTTTTCTTTTCAGTGTTGTAATTTGCTTTATGGAAAAACAAGGAGTTTCTGATGCCGCTTGCGACCATGCAATTGAAGCTTTGTTTGTGTCACAGCATTTGGATTTGATGAAGGCTTTGTGGCCAATCATATGGATACTTGATGGCCATGGCGCTTTATGAACAGGGCGATGTTCAGCTTTTAGAAAATTGAACCTAGGGGTGATTATATTTAGATTTGATCTGAGTTCATTCTACACTTCTGATTAAATAATTGAGCTGGACATTAGTGAATTGCATTTCCTATGGAGACATACAGTATAATTGAAGAGCACCCATATTTTCTTTAGGTTTTGGTACAGAAAGGGAACTTATAACTGCAGATAGTGTTCCATATATTTGTGATTGGGGATTCTCTACAATGGGGTTGCCTCAAATATCTCCTAGTACATCTGATGAAGTGGTGACATCACTGAGCACCTTAGTGTCAGTCCCATCTAGGTTAGGTGGTATTGATAGCTTTAATTTAGAAGGTTTGCTTGTAGGTTGCACAAGTAGTCGGCCATCAAGTGATTTTCCTTGCTCTTCTATCGGCGATTTCCATAATAAAACTACGTTGGAACTCCCAAAAGGAGCAGATGGACCATTCAAGTGTAAGAATGCCATTGATGGAACTACTGGCTTTCAAGGTCTTAAGATTGAGTGCAAGGATAAGAGAGGTTGGATAATGCCTAAAGTTGGACAGGATGCCCAAAGACCAGTGACGAGGATTGTTGGTTTTGAATCTGGCCATCAAGACTCTATCCCTCGGTTGGAAAAAGTTGTATCAGATGAGATTAATTGTGTCAATTCTTTTGACAATTTAGCTGGATCAAATGAGTCACAAGCGAGAAAACGGTTGTTATCGTCGCTGAATAACATGCTTCAAAAGCATTTACATGGTGAGCTCTTAGATATTGGTGAGAATGGTGATGTTTGTGTTCAATACAATGATAAAGTTGGTCGACATATGCTTCGATCAGAGGATTGTAAGAAAGCTAATTTTAGAAATGTCAGTGACTCTGATGCTTTGGTTTGTCCAAATTCACAGGGTCCACATTGGACTAGTATGTGTAAAAATAATAGGTTCAGTTCAGATGTATTTACTGATGGACCTTTGCTTCACAATAGGGATTCCTATTCTTTGTTACATCAGTCAGCTACTCATGGTGTCAGTAAAATCAATTGTACAACTGTGGCAAGGAAATCTGACACAATTGCCATATCACCTAAGCTGGTTAACTCCCCACCACTCTTTTTATCTCCTCTTGGTCCTAAATGGTCCGAAAGAATGAATATCGTGGGAGCATCGAAAAATATATGTGGCGAAATTGATAATGAATTTTTTATTTTAGAAGATAGCGCAGATTCTAGAAAAGCAACTGCGGCTGGCAACACATTATCATCAGACATCCTTGACTTCAGGACAAAGAATGCATTCGAAAATGACATTATGCTGCATGATGAATCTTATATGTCTACACCATATGGTTATCATTCAGGGAGGAATTGGGAGGGTCAAGAGTTGGCTGCATCACATTGCACTAAATCAGTAAGAAATTTAAATGTTCTTCCTGTCCGGCGGTCTCTAGTTGGTTCATTTGAGGAGTCCCTTTTGTCTGGTCGATTTTCATCTGGAAAAGTCAGTCAGGTGTGTGTGAATCCTTGGCCATTTTTTGTAAGCTTGGCATGCTTTTGATTCATAATTCCTATTAGATGAGTATCACATGCTTTATTGATTTTCCTGTTATGTTTGGAATCTTGTAGCAGAGGATTGATGGTTTTCTGGCTGTTCTGAATATTAGTTGTGGCAGTTTTTCACCACAGACTCAGAAACTTCCTTTTGCTGTAACGAGTATTCATGGGGACAGCTCATTGTTATACTATGCAGCTATTGACCTTGCGGATAGCTCATCTTCTAATAAGAACAAAAGCCAAAAGTTGAAAAGAAGCCTCAGCATTGATGATTCCCAAGCTGTCAAGACTCGCTTGCGCATTCCTATGAAAGGACGCATACAACTGGTACTTTGCCTCTTAGCTCTCAATTTTAGTTGTGTAAAAGTTAGGCTTGTTCTCTTAAGTAGTTATTCTTTGTTATCTCTATGAAATATTTCTATTTTGAGTTAGTTTAGTCACTTATGTCTCTTTAAAGGTTCAACTATAGCTATGCGGTTATTGGTGTCCATTTTTCAAACCCCATTTTTAAATAATATTTTTGATCTTATGTTCAAGTTCAGCTGCACATGGCATGAAAGTGCGAAGTGACTGTCAAAAACCCAATTGGCATAAAATTACAACACAGGTTTTAGCTTTAGTATTGTGCAAATTAGATATGAATATTGTCTAAGTTATTCACTACATCCATATTACCTAATAAGCAATATAGCAGATCACTGTTGGCTTGTGCAGTTGAAAATATGTTAAACCAAACATGTTTCTTGTTATCTTTGTTGTATGAATCGGAGAGTGAGATAGTAATTAAGGGATTGATGAGCAGGTTGAGCGTGGTTATATTTTGAATGATACATCTAAAAAAAATATATTAAAGGGTCATTGAAGCGACATCTATTAAATGTAATTTAGTGTAAAATAAATTTAGATGGTTTGAACATGTACAACAAAGAGTAGGAGATGCATCAATAAATAGATTGATCAAATTAATATTAAATAATTAGAAATGAAAATGAATAGATTAAGGTAAATTGAATAGCAGTTGCATAAAGAAATTTCTGTAAGATGGATTTCAAACCTTATGCAACACCTAATGAGGATGAATGACAAATAAAAATTGGTTTAGATGTAAAAATTCTGAAATTGGGAAAAATATAAAGTTGCCCTTAAGAAGTCTAAAAAAATAATATGCGATGCTAAGACTATATCTTTTAATGATTTATATAATAGATTAGATACTAAAGAGGGTGAAAGATATATATGTATAAGCTAGCCAAACAAAGATATAGGAGTAGTAAAGATTTAATTCAAGTGAAGTGCATTAAGGATGAAGATTAAAAAGTATTTTTTAGAAGATGATATTCAACAAAGGTGGATGAAATATTTTGCTAAGCTTTTCAATGAAGATTGTGAAAATACGATTGACTTTAGTGACCTTTGCACTCTAAATGAAATTAAAGAATTTTACTTTTATCAGCGTATTACTAAAATTGAAGTTAGAGAGGCTTTAAAGAAAATAAAGTGTTGGAAAGCAGTTGGGCATGATGATATTCCGATAGAGGTGTGGAAATGCTCAGGAGATGAAGGAATTTCTTGGCTTACTAAGCTTTTAATATTATTTTGAAGACTAAAAAGATGCTAGATGTGTGGAGAATGAGTGTGTTGATTCCTATCTTTAAGAATAAAGGTAATGCACAAGATTGTGCAAATTACAGATGAATTAAGTTGATGTGTCATACTTTAAAACTATGGAGAGTTATGGAGCATATGTTACGACGTGATACTAATGTTTCTTAAAATCAATTTAGATTCATGCCGGGTAGGTCTACTATGGAAGCCATTGAGAGGTTTGATGGAGAAGTATGATATTTATTGATTTACAAAAAGCATATGATAAAGTTCCATGAGAAGTGCTATGGAGCGTTTTAAAAAAGAAAGGGGTTAATAATGCTTATATTCAAGTCATTAGGGATATATGTATGTTGGAGCTATCACTTGTGCTCAAACACAAGGTGGTTTGATCAAGTATTTTCTTATTTCGGTTGGATTACATTAAGAATCAGCCTTAAGTCCATATCTTTTTGCTTTAGTCATGGATGTTCTCACTAGACACTTGCAAGAGGATGTACCTTGGTGTATGCTTTTTGCTGATGATATTATTCTTGTTGATAAGACTAGAGAGGGAGTTGAAGGTAAACTTGAATTATGGAGGTCAATTTTAGAGTCTAAAGGTTTTCACTTGAGTGGATCTAAAACATAATATGCTAAATGTTGGCCATTAAAAGAGAAACATAATACTAAGTTAAGTGTTGCAGAGATGAGGATGCTTAGGTGGATGAGTGGCTTTACCCTTAGAGATAGGATACGAAATGAGCATATACGTGAAAAGGTTGGAGTAGCTCTAGTGGAAGATAAGATTAGAGAGAGTTGCCTTAGATGGTTTGGTCACATTAAACCGAGGCCTTCCGATGACCCGGTTAGGAAAGTTGTGATATTAGATTTGGCTTATGTTAAGAAAGGTAGTGGTAGACCTAAAAAGACTTGGTTAAAAAATATTAGAAATGATCTTTCTTTATTAGATTTAAATGAGATTTTAACTTTTAACCGGACACAATGGCGAAAAAGGATTCATGTAGCTGACCCCATGTAGTGGGACTAAGGCTTGATGATGTTGTTGTTGTTGTTGTTTATAAGACTAAAGAGGGAGTTGAAGGTAAACATGAATTATGGAGGTCAACCTTTGAGTCTAAAAGTTTTTGTTTGAGTAGATCTAAAATTGAATACTTGGAGTGTAATTTTAGTAGTAAAGTGTTGACTTAAAAAAATACATAACAATTTTTTTTTTCAAAACATACTTGTCTCCGAGCCGGCCCCACACCACGAAGCGAAGCAACTCCTCGCTAAATAACCGTCGCTCATCGCTTAAAAATGACGGACAAAGAGAATAGGAGGACATTCGCATTCCTCCGCACTTCCTCCTAGCCGACAATCCCTTGCATCCTTCCGCTGGTTCGATTCCTTCATTGCTGTTCGAATCCAACCTCGACGTCCAACCCTGACGTCTATCCCGATGATCCAACCTCCGCCCGTCTCGGCCTCCCACGCCCGACCCGCCTCCAACTTTGCTGATCCCATTGCCACTCGACGTCGCTGCCCTCGGCTTCGTCGCTGCCCGACTTCGTTGCTGAGCAAGAGGAGAAGAGATTGCACCGGTCGCCTCCTCTCCCCCGTAGCTGTCTGACTTCATTCCTTCACAAGAGGTGCAGAGGTTGCACGTGACGCTCCTTCGGCTTCCTCCTTGCTGTTCGACCTTGCTTCCTCGACTCCCTGTGGCCGTCCAACTCCGTTGCTTAGTGGGAGAAGTAGAGATTGCACGACACTTCTTCTGCTCCTTTCTTGCTGTTTGGCTTCAGCTTCTTCGACTCCTCTATTGATGTTCGATTTCGCTCGGCTCCGCCTCCCACACAACCGAGCCTACTCAATTTTTTTTAATGTATATTATAAAATATAATATTATATAAAAACATATATATTATGATATAATTATTATATCGTAATATATTTTATAATTTATATAATATTATATATATAAATAAATGGGAAAAAATAAAGAAGCAAAAGAAATAAATAAATAAATAAATAAAAAGAAATCTTTCAAACAGGTGTTGAAGACCCTGGGCCGTCGTACCTTAGGTCCGGCCGGGATGGTTTAAAATTCAAAGACCCGTGTCATCGATCTTAGATATGGGCGGATGGCTTTAAAACTCGAAGACCTGCGCTGTTGATTTTTAATCTGGGAAGATGGTTTTGAATATGAAGACCTCGTGTCGTCGACCTTAAGTCCGACCGAGATGGTTTTAAATTTGAGACCTCACACAGTCGATCTTAGATTCTGGTGGGATGGTTTAAAATCGAAAACCCTACGCCGTCGACCTTAGGTCCGGGTAAGAAGAAATTACGGCAGTGCCGTCCCGATTTCTCCCTCAGTGGGGAGGAGATGCTGGGAGGTTGCCGAAATTTTGAGAAAATTAAATAACTTTTTTTATGGAGCAATTAAATTTAACCCTTTGATTAATCAATTAAAATTAAAAATTTTGGGCAGCCTCGCTGTAGAGTTAGGTTGTAAAACCCATTCTTGCGCAACTCGTAAATAGAGAAGTAAGCTTCAACCTAAATCTAAATACCTGGGTTGCTTTCTACGAAAGCTGTAAATCCCGACCTAAATTTAAATACCTGGGCTACTTCCTAAAGAAGCCATAAGACCCACTCCAAACTAAATTCTTGGGTTACTTCTAAACGAACTCATAAATCCAAAATTAAATAAATTTCTAGGTATTCTAATAGTTGTAAACCCCAAAACACCTAATCAAATTAAAACTCACACCTAACCACTTCAGTCTATTTGGTATCCCTGAGAGGAGGCAACCCATGCTGCTAATCAGATTCCCTGGACATTACGATCAATGATTGTTAGTGTTGGTAGACTGAAATCTACTATATACTCGGGATGACAGAACCATGGAATCTTGATCGGGTTTACCTCCATCTTTCCCATAATTGAGACTAAACACTTAAAAATTATTCATCATTAATCGAGAATTCTCTCTTACGTAGTAAGAGGGGTAATTAACTTTGAGTGCTTGCTCTCATAGGAAGTAAGGACCTCAGATCTTTAAACCCTGACACTACCCTCAGGGAAAATCTGGTTAATTTTAATCTGACTTAAGAGAAATGGAATCCTACGACTACAAAGCAGGATTCGTGCATTCGTGCCGTTTTTTCTTGATCCAACATAAAATATCTAGTGGGATGTTTGTGACTTTGAGCGATCAAGTCATTAGTAAGGTTTTCGTCTTCGACGCTTGTTTTACATTCTTTTTTCGTTGGTTTGGCAGTGCAGAGGGAGGAACAAGAGAGGGGATCGGCTTCAATTTGTGCGTCTGAGAGTTCGTGTGATAATGGGGAGCAGTTCATCAGAGGGGGTTTTGTATCGTTAGAAGCGACAGCTGCGAGTGGGGTAGTGGTATTGTGGGTGGTTGAGGCTAGTGGACGGTTAGAGGTCAACAGGTACCTACCACCTTTGTCGGACATTCTATTCATGTCTTTTGCATGCAACAATTTCTCTATGCATTTCTATTCAATTGTTACTTGTATAGCTCGATCACATATTCATTGGAAAATTTGTTAAATAAATGATTTATTTTCTATTTCTTTTGGTTTTTGATAAAGATTAGAGTTTAACATTTTGGTTAATTAAAAATTAAATTGGGTTGATCTTTTGCCAACCATATCTACTAACTTTGGTAAGATTCTATATATTAAGAGTATGAGGTATGTAATTGGTAACTTTATTAAATAAAATTTCTTTTTCTAGCGTCAACTTTATGTGTGGAAGTTGGTTGTATGTTTCTTTCAATTGCATTTTAAGTGTAACTACTTAATTTCGGGGAAGTCATCATCTCTCTATACTAATGTAAGACTTCGACATCTATGTTAAATTCTTTCTCTGACCTAATTTTTTCAACATATTTTATTATTGGCTTGTTACTTTTTATTTTGTTTAGATTTGACACCACCATGATTTTAATTATGGTGAATAAATTATTAAATTTCAATTAATTGTTTATTTTGTGTGGTTCGAATTTCTCATTTATTTATTTGACCATTATATTATCATATTGGTTATAATTCTCCTATTTAATAATTTATGTCTAATGAAAGCATGCTTTTAGTAATACCGGATTGTAGCTCTGGGACTGTAATAGTTTTTTTCGGGACTGCATCATCTTTGTTATGTTTTTCTTTCTCTTGGTGAGATTTTTATCATGAGATCTTGTGCGCGTGTACGATTTTTAAGTCACCATTCACAAATTGTTTGGTTGCGTACCTCTTGTCCCTACTTGTTGGATTTTCTATATGTGGGACTTTGTGCAGTTATTTATTTGTTCAGCTATTGAATTGGTAGATTTTGTATTGCTTGAGGCATCTGTTCAGGAGAAAAAATTGTTAAGCAGTGGTGTAATTCATGTTCTCTGGGGTTTGGATACGATAAAAGTTTAAACTTGATGGACAATCATATCTACTAACATATATACAAAAGTTTTAAAGGCAAAGTTCAATAGTAAGAATCCAAAGCTTTCCAAAGAATTATCTGCATGGCAAAATATCTTGTTAGTTATTATGTTCACCATCACTAGCCTTATATGAACAAAAAATTCCCTTATATACATAAATATTGAGAGCATTTTCTTAATGGCTATAATTTGTAGTATTTATGTTGGAGTTTGTTATGATGCATTGATATGTTATTAACTTGTTTCAAACCAAAAGCAGCTCCTTCTATGAACATGGTACTATAATATAAATAGCTTATGGTAATCCTTTTTGTGATATTATTCTGTGCATTTAATAATGGTATTGGCAGGTCCTTAGCAATCCAGAAAGGACTCCTGTCCACACATTCTTTTGCAACTATGATTTGAGTGATATGCCGCCTGGAACGAAGGTATGGATGGCCCAGAGCCCAAGCATTGTGTAAACCATTTTTTGTATAGAATTTTTATAAGCTCAACTACCATTTTGCATGTCACAATTATAAGACTTCTTTTCAAGTTATAAAGGACTTCTGAGCAATGGTGAAGGGACAGCTTGTGAATTATTTCATCTCTGCCTCACCTTGTGCAACTTCCTTAATGCTGAACAGCTGAGACTGGATTTCTTTAACCGTACTGAACCAAAGCACAAGCCATGCAGATTCAATTCCATGATTCCCAACTCCATTATTTGTGTTTAGATAAAGTCCAAGCACATCTGCTACAAGTTTTGATGCATATCCCTCAAAAATCGAAGCACATTACGTGAGTGAATTACTCTTATAGGAAAAACATAATCCTTTCTTTTTGGATCAAAAGGTGATCTCATTTATAATATAGCCTGAGATCTTCCTTTTTATTGATTAAATGGGCAAGTGAAATTTAATGTCGTGGTTTGGATGATAGGACCTGTGTTTCATTGATTGCTTTCTAATACGAGGTAAGTCAAAATTTGTTCTGTGCATTCAACTGATGTATAAGTTCTGTTGATATTTAAATTCTTTGTATTGTTTTGTTTTGATTGTTGTTGTATGAAATATTTTAAGAAAATCATATTAGGGGAATATCTTAGGGAATATGCATTATTTCTATAGTAAATTATGATTATTCTCCTCTGTATTTGTTTCTCATTGTATTATATTGTGTATTGGATCCTATATTCAGTTTATAACACTCTAAATTTTTTTTTTCTCAACATTGTATCAAACATGGCTAAGCCTTAGCTATCCTCGTAGCTTCTTGTATCCCCTCACTCTCTCTCCCCCCTATGGTTTCAACCTTTTTCTCTTCAAGGATTCAACCTTTGTGCTTGTGGGATTTTTGCTATCCTCAGTGGGTTTGAAATATTTTGTGACCTAGTATAACATAGAAAATAATATATCATTTTGGGAGATAAAAATATTATTTTGTTATGGACTCAATAACAAAATTTTCTTTTTTTTTTTATTTTAAGAAAGATTTTTCCCTATTATATATGTTTGATTGAATAAGATTTATCTTATTTTAGGGTACAAGTTCCCCCATAGGGGCAAGCACCTATAATTAATTACATCCAAAGGATATTTGTCATTTGAGAATTTTTTTTTATTAAAATAGTGGCTTATATCAATTTATCAAAATATTAGCTAACATTTTGTATGATTTTGAAAAATTCACATCGAAGATTTTGTTTTTAGAGTTTCAAAGAAGTTTGGATAAACTTAAAATTATTTTCGAATGGAAGCCAAAGGAGAAACTTGTAGGAATAATTTGAGAAGTTTAGAGTTATTTAAACTATTTTATATTTGACTTTATATTTTAAAATTAAATTTATGTTAAAGTTGATTAATTTAATTCAGAAAATGGGATTTTATATTCAAACAATCCATATCGGAGGAAATGCCTAGGAAGATGAGGGTTTACGATACTGAAAAGAACATCAACCTCAAACCTTAGATTTAAGGTGAGAATCACTCATAAGTAGTAATTTGGACCTAAATCTAATTAAATGTAAGAGACTTATGAGCTTGAAACCTTAGCTGGAGTTAAGTTAGCCCGACTTTGGACTTACAATTATGCCTGGAGAGGATGGCTAGCTAAACCCACTTAGGGGATGTTTGGTTGCATGAAAATGGAATGTAGTGTAAAGGAATGAGTTGTAAAAGGAATACTTTGAAGTTGTTTGGATTAGTGTAAAAGGAATGCATGACTACCTTTTTTTTGATTTGAAGTGAAAGTGAATGCAAAGTAAAGAGCAAAAAGGTTGTGGCCAAGGTGCCCAATGGGCGGCGGCCAGCAGCGGCGACAGTAGAGGAAGGAGATTGGCCATGGCCGATGGTGGCGTTTGGCGAGGGCGGTAACGGCAGACGACTGAGGGGCGGTAATTGCAGACGGCAGAGGGGAGGCAACGGAAGGTGTCGTTGATTACAGATGGCCAACGACAAAAGACCGCGACCAGCAGTGGCCAACAACGGTAATGGTAGTGCATTAGCAGTGTATTTGGAAATCGCCCAAATCTGAGGAATTTCAAATACACCCAAAATGCATTAGCTGGTGTATTTGGAATACACTCTTTTATACCATGCATTCCTTTTATTTCAAACCAAACCCCACTATGTCCAAAACCCTTGCATTTGGAATACTTTACACCCTAAATATATCAAACCAAACAACCTCTTAAGTGTTATTGACCACCAATCAGTCACTAAACCCCACCTCTAGACCCGAGCCGTTCTGCGCGATCCCAACCTCTTTCACCTTCATCCCAACCAGCTAGTTCAACCCATCTCACCTCACGACCCCCACCGCACGTATGATCTTTCCAAGCGACTTAATTGTTCATTCAAACAACACGACCACCCGCTCGTTTTTACAAAATCGAGCGCAGGAACCGTTCTGAGGCCATTCGACTCATCCATGGAATCACTCGAATCTCCCGTCTTTGATGTAGGAAAGGGGGGGGGGACAAATCAAACACAAAAAAAATTGATTTTGACTTCCCTTGAGCTTGCTAGCTCAATAAATTTTGAGTTGAAATTTAGCTCATTATGAGCCGGTTTTTAGTTCATTTATTGAACTAAAAGTTAGCTCATTATTAGCTAGGTTTTAGTTCATTTATTATCTTATTTATATAGTTTTTTATTTATAATTTTTTTTAAATTCTGAGTTTGTCCCTTGGGATTCCAAAATGGCTCTTGGATTTCCTATGTTGGCTGTTTTCCATGCTTGGCTCCTTGGCTTCCTCGGTTGGCTGCTGGGTGGCCTTTCCCGTGCTTTGGTGCCTCGGTTCCGTGCGGGCCTCTTGGGTTTCCGCGGCCTCCTCTTCGGGTCCCTAGCTGGGCCGTTTCTCGTGGCTGTGTGGGGGCTTTTTCGTGGCTTTGATGCTTTGTTTCTTGGACTTGACTGTTGGCTTTTCATCTCCGTCATTTAGTATAGAATGTGAAAGGTTTTTGGGGCTGTTTAGTTCCCCCTCTCTTGTCTATAAATAGGAGTTGTTTGTGGCTGTTTTAAGCATGTTATGTGAATGATTTTTGGAGCCTAAACCTGCGGTTTCTTCTTGGAAAAGCTTGCGAGCTTGTTCCATTCTCCTTCTTCTCTAGGAAAGCTTGTGAGCTTCTCCTCCTTCGTCTTGGCTTCTTACCTCTTTCGTCCTCCGCAAGTATCCACTCCATTATATCCTTCTTCTCTTGGAAAGCAAGTTTAGGTGTTTTATTTGAGGCCAAGTTGTAAGAGTCAATGTTTGTAAGTCATTTTATTTTATAAAGTGGAGTTTGTGTTTTGTTTTGAAAGTCATATTTTGTCTAAATTACGAAGGGTTCGTGCTTCCATTTTGATGAGAAGTATGCACCAGGCTATTAGTGTAAAAACTGCACACTCCAGGTTATTATGGTCTACGATGAGTAGGAGACCAACAACGAGGATCTAGTGGAGGAAGCAGAAGAAAGATGAGAACACCTACACCTTGATGTGGCAGAGGTATCTTTAACTCAGTGGGGGGATTTACTTCAAATCATACGATGAAGGTAAGGGTACATATTAGGGAGCGCCCAATGGTGCTTTTGGTGGATAGCGAGCTTACCCACAACTTCATATCAAATCAGGTCGTGGATCAGTTGGGATTGGTATTGACCGACATAGAGAGCTTTGGAGTCATGATGTCGATGGGGAAGGTGGAAAAGTGTAAGGGGATTTGTATGAGGTTGATGCTGACACTCTAGGACATATAAATAGCGAAGGATTTACTTCCCTTTGAGCTAGGGACATAGATGTCATTTTTGGCATGAAGTAGTTACAGACCTTGAGAGAGACTAAGGTGGACTAGAAAGCATTGACGATGGAATTCATGGAGGGAGGGAGGAAGGCGAGTATCAATGAGGATCCTAGTATGTCCAAAACAAGGGTTTCTCTTAAGGCCTTGGTGAGAGAAAGGCATGAAGAAAGAGGAGGAAGTTTCAAAGATAGTCCAACCACTCCTGCAACAATTCAGTGAGGTGTTCCATGTCTCAAGGCGTACCTCCCCCAAAGGAGCATAAGCATGCCATCAACCTGAAGGAAGGGGTATCCACTATCAGTGTTCAGCTTGACTCGTACCCACAGATTTAGAACGATGAAATTGAGAGGCTAATCATGGGGATGTTGGAGACTTGGATCATTCGTTCCAGTGCTGGCCCTTTCTCTAGCCCTGTGTTGCTACTAAAGGACGGTAGTTGGATATTTTGTGTAGATTATCGGGCTTTGAACAAGGAAACCGTGTTGAATAAGTTTCCTATACCAGTCATTAATGAGTTGCTAGATGAGTTATATGGAGCAATGATATTCTCCAAGATTAATCTGAAATCATGATACAATCAGATCATTGCGGCCTGCAAATATCTATAAGACGACTTTCAAGACTAAAGAAGGCCACTATGAGTTCTTATTGATGCCTTTTGGGCTAGCCAACACCCCAACTACTTTCCACTTGCTGTTGAATAAGGTATTTTAGCCCTACCTTTGCAAGTTTGTATTGGTTTTCTTCAATGACATCTTGGTGTATAGCCAACTTGAGGCAGTGCACGTGGAGCAATTTAGAGTAGTGCTAGTGACATTAAATGAATATCAGTTGTATGCCAATTTGAAGTAGTGTTCCTTTGTACGACTGAGGGTGGAGTATTTGGGACATGTGTCCAAATTAGGAGTAGTTGCAGGTCTTTCCAAGATAAAGGCTATGTTGGAATGGCTCTTACCTAAGACCTTGAAGGAGTTGAGGGGGTTCTTGGGACTCATAGAATACAACATGAAGTTTGTGAGGGGGTATTGCTTTATAGCATGGCCATTAATAGAGCAACTGAAGATGGATAATTTCAATTTGGGGGAGGCAGCCACTCAGACTTTTGAGCTGCTGAAGAAAGCCATGAAAAGTGTTCTTGTGTTGGTACTACTGATTTCAACCAGCTATTTTTAGTGGAGACTGATGCATCATGCAATGGGTTGAGGGCAGTCCTCATGTAGAGTCAGAGGCCCATAGTTTATTTCGGCCAGGTGTTGACCGCTAGGGCCAGGCTGAAATTGGTGTATAAAAGGAGCTGATGGCGATAGTCTTGGCAATACAAAAGTGGCGATCTTACCTGTTGTGGGCCTTGTGGCAACTCTTCATCGTCAAGACCGACCATAGGAGCTTGAAGTTCCTATTAGAATAGAGGATGATGATAGAGGAGCATCAGCGGTGGCTTTCCAAGTTGTTGGCTTATAACTTCGAGATGCAGTACAAGCCCGGGCTGGAAAATAAAGTAGTAGATGCTCTATCTAGGCGTAGTGAAAACCCTCTGGTCATGACTCTATCTCTTCTTATGGTGGTAGATTGGGAGGCATTAAAGAGTGAGAGCGAGCAGGATAAGGAGCTGTGTAAGATTAAAGGAGACTTACTGCGGGACAAAGACAACCATCTTGTTTATTCTTTAATGGGTTAGAAGCTGTTATATTAGGGATGGTTTGTGCTTTCGAGGACATTGCCACAAATCCCTCACTTGTTGTGAGAGTTTCACAGCACAACTATTGGAGAACATTCAGGAGTCCATAAGACATCATAAACTGGTAGGGGAGATCTACTGGGTGAGCATGTGGAAGGATTTAGAGGAGTTGGTGGCCAATTGAGATGTATACCAAAGACAAAAATATCTGGCTATGGCTCCAGGTGGTCTTTTATAGCCTTTAGCATTACCTGAGAATGTGTGGGAAGAGGTGGCAATGAACTTCATTGACAGACTACCTAGATCAGAAAGATTCAGTGTGATTTTAGTAGTAGTAGACATATTAAGCAAATATGCTCATTTCGTTCCCTTACGAAACCCATACACAACAGCATCAGTGGTAGTCGAACTCATTAAAGTTGTGATTCATTTGCATGGCATAAACGAGACCATTATGTCTATCAATACAGGGTCTTTCTAAGCCATTTTCTGAGGGCGTGAGGAAGTTATTCAAGATCCATGAGACTATCCTAAAGCAAAGTATAGCTTACCACCCTTAACAGATTGCCAGACAAAGGTGGTGAATCGCAGTGTGGAAACTTATATTTGTTTCTTTGTATCAGATATATCAAAGATGTGGGCTAAGTGATTAGCATGGGCAGAATATTTGTATGGTATTTCATATTATACAACAACCCATACAACATCATTTAAAATTCTATATGGGAGGGATCTACCTCATCTGATATATTATGGGCATGACAACACATCAGTATCATTAATTGAGCAGTACTTGGAAGAAATAGATCAGATTTTGGCAAAATTGAAGGAGCATTTGTGAAGAGCACAACAAATCATGAAGCAAGTGGATGGACAGAGACATGTAGTTTAAGGTTGGGGATAGGGTATATCTGAAAATTCGGCCTTACAAACAGAGGGCTTTGACCTGATGAAGGAACGAGAAGCTCTCCCCATGCTACTTTGGACCCTACGAGATAGTGAAATGTATTGGAGCAGTAGCATATTGCCTACAGTTACCACCGACCTCGGCCATCCATCCCGTATTTCATGTTTCACAGCTAAGGCATGCGATAGGAGATCACACACCGTCTCCACTAACCCCGAGTATGACAGAAAACTTGGAGGCTATTTTGAAGTATATGGCCGTAGAAGGGGTGTGTCAAGGAGAAACAAGAGCACTTGAAGTACTAGATGAAGCTAAATGGGAGTCATATGAGATAATGATGAGACAGTTCTCATCCTTTCACCTTAAGGACAAAGTGCATGTTTCGGGGGGGGGGGATAGCCGACGGTTTGTGGAGAGCCAATTCACCTCTCAAATAGTAGATCAATTGTAGCATTTTTTTTTAATGAGAAATCAGAAAACAACCATTATCTTTGTGTTCCTATATTTTTATTCTCTTTTGTTTTCTACTTTTACTTCCAAAATACATCAAATCCATTATGATCCCGATGGTAGCGAGACAAGACAAAGTTTGCAAGAACTTGGTGCAGCAGGGATGATCCAAACGAATGACAACGCTGCCTAACTAGATTAAGGACTTCCTTGTGGTGAATGATTGAGTGGTGTGTCGGGTTAAAATTAATTAGTGAGCTATAGTCTTCCGTAATTAAAATTATTTATTGATCCATATAAATTATAAGGTAGTTACATGGCAGTACACTTTTCATCTTTCGATTGCAGCTAGGAGAAGGTAGAACGTAAAGCATCCTATAATGTATTAGTAATGGAGAAGGTTTTGCTGAAAACTATTATCGATATTTTCCCTGTACATCTTCTACCTATCACCTTTTCCTGGAGTTGCAAGCAGCCTCTTATTGTTGGCTGTATCTCCTATGATTTATCAGTAAAATACATCATGTTGTTGCATATTCTTTTGGTTGTGATTATCATTTTTGTTATGTCAATTCTTCCATCCTCAATGAAACAGACATTCATGCGTCAGAAGGCTACTCTAGCTTCTTCTTCAACAACTCCCCATGTGGTAAAAGGAATGAGAAGTCAAGATTCAGTGATCTCCAACCAAACTGAAGGTACAGTATGAAATTGCGAAGCCGGTGAAATCAATGAATTTCACTCGAGGTGTATTGATCAAGACGTATTAAGTAACACTGAACACGAACCTACTGGTTTTGCAGGCTGTGCGAATATCACTACTGATCATCATTCTGAACCAGCAAGTAATTCCCCAACTATAGCAGGCTTTGATTCCATGTTCTTTTCATCTCAGAAAAGCTTTGAACAACCTAATGGCCTTACAACTGTTATAGACACTAAGTATTGTACGAGCAGGGAGGGGGATATAACTAATCAGAAGTCTAGTTATAGCTCTAACCCTGGTGCTCTGCGTTATGCTCTACATGTGCGCTTTCTATGCCCTTTTTCAAGGAAATGTTGCAAAGCAATGCAAAGATGCAAGTCGGATCCCTTTTCAGTGCCAAATAGAAACAGTGCAGACGTTGAGGGAGAACGACACTTTTATTTGTATAATGATATTAGAGTAGTCTTTCCCCAACGCCATTCTGATTCAGATGAGGGCAAGGTACGAGTCGATTTACTTTCTAAACTTAACTGAACTTGATATGATGATTTACAAATCTTGTGGCATTGATGTTATCTTTTTAATTATTGAGCAGCTTAAAGAAATAATTTCTACTTATATTATTTTAAATCTGTAATATTTTGCTAGCTCCGTGATTGGTTTTTGAGTTTAATGAAAAGCTTGTGTTAAATTTGTCATTTCGGATGTTACTTTCCATTACTGTTATTTTTAGGCTCTCTTTGTTAAGATTAGATATATCAACTCTCTAGCATATACTACAACAACATCAAGCCTTTGTCCCACTATGTGGGGTCGGCTACATGAATCCTTTTTCTCCATTGTGTCCTAAAATTCTCTGTTAAATCTAATAAGAAAAGCATATACATTTAGTTTAATTCTAGAAATTAATATAAGTTAGGCTCGAATGAGTAATATTAGGACTTTATATCAAGCTTACCATCAATTTCATGATAATCAAGGAAGACGCATAATTGCTTCATACTTCATATGGTTGCATTTTGGATGAAGCAATAATTAATTTTGTTCAGAGGTTCTCAATTTTGAAGAATGACAGTACCCACTGCTCTAAATTCATGATTCAAAGCTTTTAGTTCAAATCAAACATCCCAGCTTTTGAAATAGATTGCAGGAGAATATTTTTTCTCCTTTTATCCATATTTATTTCATTATTATTTTCTCCCCAAATTTAGAGAATGAGGTAGTTTTCAGCTTTCTCTGCCATCATTTATGCAGTTTCATCTTTATTTCTTGCCAATTTCTCAAACTTTCTCATTATTTAGTCTAAAGTTCCTAGATATGGCAAGTGTCGGGGCTGTTTGATTTGTTAAAAAATAAATCTAGAGTAATAGATGCAGCGGAAAATAAATAATAGCATATTTGAAACATTTTAGAGTTTGGTTGAGTGTAAAATAAATGTAGAAAAATATTTTTTATGTTTGGTTTGTAGTAAATTCAATGTAAAGCTTGACCATAGTGCCCAATGATATGGGCTGCAAATGACGATCGACGGCCAGTGATGGCAATGGCAGCATTCAGCAGAGGTAGTGGCCATCATTAACAGGTGGCTTTAGTAATAGTTTGTGGCAGTGAATGGCATAAAATTTACGGTGTATTTGAAAATCGGATAAATCGGTTGAAATAAATATGGATAAAAGGAGAAAATAAATTAAAGTATGAATTCTAAATTCACCATTGCATTTCAATGTAACTAATTAAATAATCAAAATTTTAAAGCACATGCATTTTGTTTACATTACATCAATAATACAGCAAACTAAAGAGCACCTTGATCATTTTGTAAGTTTTCCTTGTGTTAGTCTTATATGTGATATTGTATGCAATTAATATCATCATAATGCTATTCATCTGATTGAGATGTATAGTTTTATCTGTGATTCCCAGGTTGTAGTTCAATCTATAAGGCTTCACCTAAATTTAACATCTGCAATGAGTCTTTTGGTTGGTACATATTCTATTGTCGTTGGATATTTAAGAGTGTGATTTAAAACCTTAATCTCCTTTAAGCCACAATATTGCCATAAATTAGTCTGTGCGGACGCCAAACGCAGCTCTACATCCGGAGATCAACCAGAATGAGTCACATCAGCAATACTTAGTGCGGTACTGAGCCACGATACCGAGTAGTTCCGAGCCGCGGTACCAATATGACTCATTTTGGTTGGTCTCCGGACAGCGTTCGGTGTTCGCGCAGAATAATTTCTCCAATATTGCATATCGAACCAATCGGATACAAAGAATCCATTTCTTTTCAGGTTATATTTTTATTCTGAAGCATTCTTAGTGATTTTTCTGGCAGCTTCGCGTGGAGCACCATTTCCCAGCAGATCCAAAGTACTTTGATGTAAGCAACTGAACAGAAGATGGCTTAGATGGCTTCAATTGTATATAGCTTCTCATTTCCTCAGTGAAATCTGTAAAGAAACTCCATCCATTCCTTGTAAATATAAAGCCTTCACTATTCCATTGCTCTATTTCTATTTCTTCTTCCTTTTCTCAGTAATGTGGTGGTGTTCTTGGGAACTAAGCATGATTTATTAGAGTTCTTAGTGTCAACAGTAAAAGTAAGTCTGATTTGGATTAGCTAAGTTGATATGAAGCTGCATGTGGAGAATTTGTATGTTGGGCTGATTTGAAGACAATCTGGTTTGAATTGAAAAATGGTCATCATAGCTGACCTTGCATGGTTCTATGAGTAGGTCAAGATCAATTTTACTAAAGAAATAAGTGCAAATACCAAAATAAATTGCTTGGAAGAACAGGTCTGAAATTCTTCTATGTTGCAATATTGATGAAAGTTGTAACTATTAAGTTTGAGGTGTATTAAGTGTTTATTGATTATAGTGGGTCTTTAACTTGTAAATGAAGTGTTACAAGTTTGATGTGATGAAGATCATGTGGACATTTAAGATTAGCTATATTGTTGAAGGCAAATTTAAGATTGACTAGGCAAGTTTTAAAAATTATTTGGGTTTTGTTTTGATAACAATCATTCAAGATTTTAGGCATAAATACTTGGTTGGAAGTCTTATGCAAAATGTTCATTGCAAGAGTAAGCTAATGTAGTGGAAGAAGATGCTAAGCTAATAAAGTAGAGGAAGATTTTAGTGGATGTGAAGCAATAGATCAAAAGTCTATAGTAATAAGTTTCAGGAATAGAAATAGGCTAAAACACTTGACTTCTTTTACTCATAATTTATCTACCACAAAATCTTGATGCATCCTTTGGTTGAAAAGAAGATAGATTTAGGTTTTGTTTGGGATGTTTTTTTAACTGTTTCTTAAAGCGATTTTATAATACTAAATTTAAAATTTTTGTATTAGAAAATTGCTTTAAAAGTAGTAAAAAAGTTGTCTCAAATGAAATCTTAATCACTTATAAGACGTGTATTATAATATTAGTAATGTTAATCGAGTTCAATAATGATAATACCCATAATGATTGATGGGTGATACCTTTAAGCATCAAAAGGGGAGGATGAATGCATATGCCTAAATTGATGATCTTTTGATGGAGAGAAAATTCTAGCAAGGCTATCTAAAATACTTGGAGGAAACGTTTCCAAACCTATTGAGGTTCAACATAGCTTAGCAAAATATATCTTCATAGCAAAGTGGGATAAGTTTCTTAGCTATGATGCAAAATAAAATATAATCAAATCTATAGAAGAACAATGAGATCTTTTAGTAAAGTATGGTGGGTGTAGTTCAATAATTATAGAGTAGTTTATAGTTCCATCAATTAAAGAGCATGAAGTCATGGGGATAAGCAAGATGGAATCTTGGATTACACCATTGTATAGCTATTTAAGCTAGGTAGACTACCCAATAATGAAAATTAAACTATATTTCTCAAGATGTTGGCCTTAGCTTAATTTATAGCCAAATATAATAAGTCTTTCTTAGGTGCAAGCTTCAAGTACTATGATATGAAGAGTTGCTTTAGGAAGTACTTGAAGTGGTTTGCAATCGCTGTTGAATCGCTACTCAACAAGATATACATGTTCAAAACTTTGTGTGAAAGTTATCGCTACCATTCCATCCGACATCCACCAATGCAATAGCTTCTTCCAATGATGATTCCCTTACATTCAACCATATTCCACAAGCCTTTGCTAAGAGAACCATTTCCTTTTGATCTTTTCGACTATTTCACCAAGTAGGTGAGATTCAAGTTAGCCCCCTTTCTAGGCTACAATTCTACTACCTTGTTCTTACAATTACAAGTTTCACTCATTCACTTCTCAACCCAATGGAGAAGACCATCACATTTTATGCACTACCTATTTTCTTATTAATCTTTGTTTTTCTATAGGACTTTCTTAGCTTATAGATCTTTCAATCCCTTCTAAACAGAATTTAAAATTCTTTAAAAATTTTTCTAAATTTTTAATTGGAGTCTTGAGCCCATTATTGGGCAACTCCATACTCATTGGGACCCAAACTTGGGCTAAGCTTGAGTTCATGAGTTGACTCATATTAAGAAAGAGATAGAATAATTTTAATTTAAACATATATTATAATAAAATAATAAGAATGAAAAATTAAAAGATAAATGATAAAAATTCACTTTATATAATTTTCAAATACTTTAAATAATTTTACAACTAAACTAATATATTTTTTAATAAATTTGCATGCCTGAAAACACACTTTCATGTTGAAAATAGATACATATTCTCTCTTTAATAAAAGATGAATAAGCCAAACAGAAGAACGGTTACTAATGTTTCTAACGCTTCGTTAAAGCTTCGTTTGGGTTAAAGCTTCGTTTGGGACGACTTTTTTATTACTTCTTAAAACAATTTTTTAGCATAAGATTTTTTAATTTTGTACTAAAAAATTACTATAAGAAGCAATAAGAAAGCAAGCTTATTGCTTTTTTTAAATGATTTTTTTTATAAATTTTTCTTTACTAAAAAATCATTTTAGAAAGTGACAAAAAAACTATCTAAAATAAAGCATAAATTAAAACTAAATAAGAGAGTTTAAAGTAGCAGCAAGATTTAGGCTTCGTTTGGGACAACTTTTTTATTACTTCTTGAAGCAGCTTTTTAGTACAAAAAATTTATTTTTTGTACTATTCAGCTGCTTTTAAAAGTAGTAAGAAAATCGTCCCAAACGAAACCTTACTTTGGCATAAAAAGCCATTTTTGAGAAAAATATGACTAACATTGCTACTAAGCAAAATAACTTTTAACATAATATAAGCCATCTGAGAAGAATAAAAGAATTGAGTGATGAGCTTAAAAATTTAACACAACAATTCGATCATGTTTTAATTACATAAAATTACATAAAAATAAAAAAATAGGTCATAATTTTTTTTTTAAATCATCTGATAAATATTGAGTGAGCATATTATAAGTTATTTATATATTTTTACAATGATCACCACAACAAGTTTTAAAAAAATTACTTTCTCTACAGTAATTTTCCAATTATTTTTACAAACTGTTGCAAGTCCCAAATAATAGATTAATCATTTCAACGGTTACCTTTCTGCATCTTGAACCTGGAGACCGGCCGTGATGGCTGCTGCAAGCAGTACGAAGATTTTCTCAGGATCAGAAACGAAGAAAAAGAAAGAAAAATGAGGGATATTTCATCAGGATACTACCTGAACAGCAGTTGAATCGTTAGAGGAGGGTTTTGGTGGCAAAAGGCCATAACTATGTTCAATAACTGTGCCTGTAAAAGCCTGCATTGTAAAAATTAAGGTATCGTTTGGTAGCAGAACTCCTTTCATAAAATTTTGATGAGAAACAGTTGTTTCGAAAAGGTCTTTTTACTAATGAAGAAGCAAAAAATAAAAGCTTGGAAATCGGTCAGATAATGAGCACTTAAAAAACACAGTTTTACGACCAAAAGTATTTTTCACGTTTTGAAACGAAAACGGTGCTAATTAAGCCGTCCAAAACGAGGCCTAAAACAAGGTGTAATAAAGATTGATTATTGAGTCATAGCCCAATCATGAATCTTCAAGTCAATCTTTCATGCCACCTAGAGCTTTGGCTCAGAATGTTTTTAGAAGACACAATTCCATCTATATTAGTTGCAAAGAACAAATTTCATGATAAAGATACAGAGCACCACATAGGGAGGTGCTTTATCAGCTATTTTTTTGCTAATCTTGCTTTTAAGTATTACTTTCTTTCAAATTATCGGACCCATTTGGGTGAAATCATTTGAAAAAGAATGAATTTATTAGATCATTTGAATCAACATTATTTTTAAGCTCTAAAAACAGATCAAGATTTTCAAATCTGATTATTTCATTTACACACAAATAATACTGAGTGAAGCTTTAATCATCACAAAGACATGTTTTAATTCTTCAAGCACCAGATGAACCCTTAATAGAGAGGAAAAATGACTGAGATTTAGTACCTGAATGTTAGAAGCAGGGGACTTCTGAAGGATTTCTCGCGTTTCAGGAGGCAGCGAGGGGTGTTGTGTCGCGTGAGGTTGCTCGACAATACGTTTCAATGGACCTTAAAAATTGAACAAAACAATAACTTGTTAGTAGATAATTACTATTGGGGAGAAGATAGTTGAAAAACATAATTCAGCAACTGAAAACAAAACCATTTGATCAATAATTTTTGTTATAAGGAAAGAGACTATTTATTGTCGGCATCTTTACACTAAAATATTTGCAGGGATGGAAAACATGAAACAAGGAGAGCCAATTTGCTGGAAAAAACAAAGATTTCTTGATATTGAATGAATTAATCAACATTTGGAGATGAATGTCTAACAATTTCTAACATTGATAGTTTATCATAAGGAAGCTTCTATAGTAGGATTAAAAGTTACATGGAAGAAGATTACACGCATGGGTAATCATCAACAATTCTTCTAAAAGTGATTTCAGCTCATTTCCCAAGTAAAACCATCAAACAAAGGATACAAAAAAAAAAAAAAAAACAATTCCTAATAACTGGGGCTGCTGCAGTTTTCCTTACAGCTTATTCTTTGGTGTTAAAATTATGAATTTGGTATGATTTTATTATTAGAATTTAATTCCCCTATTATTAGATGGTCGTGAGACCTGCAATGCTTTATGGTGACGAATGTTGACTATTAAAAGAGAAGCATAATACTAACTTAAGTGTTGCAGAGATAAGGATGCTCAGGTGGATGAGTGGCTTTACCCTTAGAGATAGGATATGAAATGAGCATTTACGTGAAAAGGTTGGAGTAGCACCAGTGAAAGATAAAATTAGAGAGAGTTGCCTTAGATAGTTTAGTCACATAAAATGGTGACCTTCCGATGACCCGGTTAGGAAAGTAGAGGTATTAGATTTGACTTATGTTAAGAAAGCTAGAGGCAGACTTAAAAAAGACTTGGTTAGAAATATTAGAAATGATATTTTTTATTAGATTTAAATGAGAATGTCTTTTAACAGGACACAATGGAGAGAACGGATTCATGTAGCCAACCCCACGTAGTGGGACAAAGGCTTGATGTTGTTGTTGTAGTATTTATAGATTTATGTGTGCGCCTAATTTTTGTTACTTAAGATTTTCAGGTTAATCCTCATGAAGTTACACTTCTTTATGAGAAGCATTTCTCTTAACATTATTATAATTTCCACTTGTGTTTAATAAATTGCTGACCATACCTTATTTAACTGTAGTTATTCTATTATTAATATTGATATGATATGTGATGTGCAGTTAGTTATAGCATGACTATTGCTGCATAAATTCGACACTCTTGAAATGAACTATTTGTTAGGATTCTCAAATTTTACTTGTATATGTAGCCTTTTCCCTTGTGAAGTTAAATCTTGAGAATGCAATTCCTATTCTAACAATTATTACTCCTTGTCCATGCCATAACATTTATATTATTTTAACGCGAATGACTAAAAACACAAATAACAAGAACATCAAAATGCATTGTTGTGTATTTAATATAGAACTAAGTGATTAGAGGATGACAATAACCCAAAGCTTTGCAAGATGATTTGAAGAACTAACAAAGTAGTCCAAAGAAGGATTCCTTCAATAAAATCAGCGAACTTCATGTGGGCTCCGAAAATTCGGCCCCGGCCTCCCCGCTGCGCTTTTTCTTTTTATTTGAGCGAGGGAGTTTTAACGAAATAAGTTCCGGGGTAAATTTTGGAAGGCAGATGGGTTTGTAGATAAGACACTACCCAGAGATTTCGCCCTCATTTTGCGAGGACTTTATGATCTGAGTTCTGGTTTCCTATAGGCGCAAGCCCCTATAGTTAATTATCTCTCCCGATCATGAGAGAGAACTTTCGATTAAGGCTAGTCGTCGATCAGATACGTAGAGAATACGTAGTATCTGGCATATAGTAGCAGCAATACATACGGATTTGGAAATATTTGGAAGTTTGGAAATTTGGGTTGAAATGGTTTGATATTTAAAATTTGAAATTTCACCATCTTGCACTTAAAGCGGATGGTGGGGGAATGGATGATAGACCCGATCAAGATCCCATGGTTCCGTCGTCCCGGGCCATCGTGGTCCCTGGTCTACTTAGTCAGAGGAGGTAGTCGACCCAACCTGACAGAAGGATCCTTGTTAGCAGCCATGGGTTGCTTCGTCCAAGGGGACCTTGTAGACCTGGGGTGAATGCTTGTCTAAGGGGACAAATCTGAATCCACCTTAGCTAACAGAGGGCTTTGTTCCCTATCGATCATATCCTATTAATTCATATCTCAAAGATTTGATGCCAATAAAGGACGTATTGGCGCTGGCCATAACCGGTATTTCGTGGTGCCATTTGGCGGCAAAACCACTCGGTTCAGAGGGCCCCGGGTCATAACCGTTTATCCTGCGGTGCCATTTGGCGGCGAACCGCCGGTTGGAGGACACGTACCACGTCCTTATTGGCAGGAGATTGTTTGAGGATGAATCCTAGTGATTCGACCATCCATATAGGCCCACAAGAAATTAATTTAGTGTTTGAAATCTCAACAGCAGGTGCATTCAGGTTTATAGGATGATCATTGAACTTAGCAGACTAAATTTTAAAGGACTTCAAAGATCACATAAGAGGAACCTTAATGGAGAAAATTCTTGGGAACAAAATGCAAAGTCCAAGTGTATAAAATTATAGAGAAAAAGCCGCAAAAGGAACCGTAACGGAGACAATTCTTGGGAACAAAATGCAAAGTCGAAGTGTATAAAATTATAGAGAAAAAGCCTGAAATAATCCCTGACTAATTTAGTCTCTGAATTTTGCATTGCCTCAATTTAGCCCCTCGGCTATTGAATATTGACCAAATTTAGTCCTAAAGCGGTAAAAAATAATTAAAGTTAACACCAAAATTAAATACGATGATATTGTAAACCGTGCAAGTTATATGATATTACATTACTTATGTTGCTATATTTTATCATTTCATAAATTATAGTAAAAATGTTGTTATTGTCAGGTCTTAAGTCCTACAACAACAACAACAACAACATCAAGCCTTAAACTCCAAAACTAATAATCGATGTTGGGTACATAAATTTTCACTCGGAATAACTTTACAATCTTTGCAATCTAAACGATTTGATTTTCTAATAAGAAAATAGTCAATCTAAAAATTGAGGGTTGTGTTAGGTAATCCATAACCAGCGTAAAACTTACCAAATAATCATAATATGAATCCTTTAATACGTTGTGTTAATATTAGGGCGTTCTCTGAAAGCGACGCATATTATGACTTGAATACAACGAAAAGTGTGCAAGGGCAACTACATTTGTACCCAGGTGCAATGTTAAATAGACAAGAGTTCCCACATCATGGACGGATATGGGCAAAGAAGCTAGTCCATGGAAGAATTAATTCAAAAGATACCTCTTGAAGAAAGAATTTTTATTGGAAGAGATTTAAATGAATATATTGGTAGAGAGGTAGATGATTTTAAAAGTATTCATGGCGGCTATGAGTTTGAAGCGACTAATGAAGGTGGTAAGATTATATTAGATTTTGATCTAACTTAAGATTTTATAATTGCTAATATCTTATTTAAGAAAATAAATGTGCATATCATCACTTATAAACATAGATATAATAAAACTCAAATTGATTATTTTCTTATAAAAAAAACAGATCGTTTAGATTGCAAAGATTGCAAAGTTATTGCAAGAGAGTTTATATAAGCAACATTGCTTATTAGTTTTAGACTTTATGATGAAAGGGAAAAATATAGTAAAATGTTATTATAAGATTAGATATGGGCATTTAAAGAACACTAACAAAAATATTTTTGAGAGATCTTAATATTTTGTCTTTCCCCATAACATTATAAAGAATGTTACAAATGATGTGATTGGAGTTTCAAAAGAAAAAAGCTTCTAATAATAAAAATAATTTGTGGTGTAATCAAAATGTGCAAGAAAAGATAAAAAATAAAAAGCTATATTATAATAATTGATTTAAATGTAAAAACTCCAAAAACAGGAAAAGATATAAAAAGGCTTGTAAGATGTCTAAGAAACTAATTTGTGATGCAAAAAAATTTAGCTTTTATGATTTATATAATATATTAGATTCTAAAGAGGACGATATATTTATAAGTTAGCCAAACAAAGAGATATGAGTAGTAAGAATTTAGTTCAAGTGAAGTGCGTTAAAGAAGAATATCAAAAAGTGTTTTCTTAGAAGAGGATATTCAACAAAGGTGAATGAGATATTTTGCTAAGCTTTTCAATGAAGATTGTGATAATAAGATTGACTTTAGTGATCTTAGCACTCTAAATAAAAATAGAGATTTTTTTTTATTTTTATCTACGTATTATTAAAATTGAAGTTAGAGGGACTTTGAAGAAAATGAAGTGTGAAAAAACTAATGGACCTGATGATATTCCAATACATGTGTGAAAATGCTTCGCAGATGAAGGAATTTATTAGCTTACTAAACTTTTTAATATTATTTTGAAGACAAGATTTCAAATGAGTGGAGAATGAGTGTGTTGATTCCTATTTTTAAGAATAAAGATGATGAACAAGATTGTGTGAATTATAGAAGAATTAAGTTGAAGTGTCATATTTTAAAACTTTGGGAGAGAATTCTACAGCATAGTTTACGACGTGATACTAATGTTTTTCAAAATCAATTTGGATTCATATCGGGTAGGTCTACTATGTAAGTTATTCATTTATTGAGAGGGTTGATGGAGAAGTTTAGAGAAAATGAGGATCTACATATGATATTTATTAATTTAGAGAAAGCATATGATAAAGTTCCAAGAGAAGTGCTATGGAGAGTTCTAGAAAAGAAAGAGGATAATAATGTTTATATTCAAGTCATTAGGGATATGTATGCAGGAGCTATTACTTTTGTTCAAACATAAGGTGATTTGACCATGTATTTTTCTATTTTAGTTGGCTTATAACAAGGATCATCCTTAAGCCCTTATCTTTTTGCTTTAGTCATGGATGTTCTTACTAGACATTTGAAAGAGGATGTACCCTAGGATATGCTTTTTGCTAATGATATGCTTTTTGCTAATGATATTCTTCTTGTTGATAAGACTAGAGAGAGTTGAAGGTAAACTCGAAATATGGAGGTCAATCTTAGAGTCTAAAAGTTTTCGTTTGAGTAGATCTAAAACCAAATACATATAGTATAATTTTAGTAGTAATAGATCTAGTGGGGGGTTTGTAACTTTGAGCAATCAAGTTATTAATAATTATACTCGTTTTAGATATCTTGGGTCTATTGTTTAGAGTGATGGTGAAACAGATGGGGATATTATTAGTAGAATTCAAGTTGCATGGTGGAAGTAGAGGAATACTTCGGGTTTGTTGTGTGATAGAAAAGTACCACTCAAATTTAAGGGAAAATTTTATAAGATGGTGGTGAGACATGCAATGCTTTATGGTGCAAAATGTTGGCCATTAAAAGAGAAGCATAATATTAAGTTAAGATGAGGATGCTCGGGTGAATGAGTGTATTTAGTCTTAGAGACAAAATACAAAACAAGCATATCCGTGTGTGGACTTCGAAAATTCGCGCCCTGGCCTCCCTGCTATGCTTGCTTTCTGCTTTTGGGGGGAGTTTTAATAGATTAGGTTCCAGGGTAGATTTTCAGAAGACAGACTGTGTTTGTAGATAAGAAACTACCTAGAGATTTCACCCTCATTTTGCGAGGACTTCATGATCTGAGTTCTAGTTTCCTATAGGCGTAAGCCCCTATAGTTAATTACTCCTCCCGATCATGAGAGAACTTTCGATTAAGGCTAGTCGTCAATGAATACATCATATCCATAGATACGTGATATCTGACATATGGTAGCAGCATAGGTTCAAGTATTTGATAATTTAATATTTAAAATTTGAAATTTCACCATCTTGCGTTTAAAGCGGATGGTTGGGGAATGGTGATGATGAGCCCGATCAAGATCCCATGGTTCCATCGTCCCCGGCCATCGTGTTCCCTGGTCTACTTAATCAGAGGAGGTAGTTGATACAACTTGATAGAAGTATCCTTGTCAGCAGTCATGTGTTCCTTAAACCCTAAACTATAACGAATATAGTTAACTGCTATCTCAATAGGAATCAAAAACTACCTGATTTTAGTTATGACGTGCAGAAACTGCTATTGAATGAATTATTTTCATATGCTCATAGAAGTTAATATGGTCATGATTGTAATATTATATCATGACTTAGTTACTGTATGTAACATGCAACACTAATAGGACACCTTAAATTTATTAAACATCAGAAAACATTTTGCAACTACATAATGCAGTCTCAGCCTAACCTTCAGGTGCAACTTGCATTTTTGGGCTTGATACCTGTATGTTTAACAAAACCAAAATAAGTAAACAAATATTGTGAAAATATAATTCTACTCGAGCAAATAGTATAAAAAAGAAGCAATGAAAACAATGTACGCCTCCAAGAGATGAATGTTAAAAGAACAGCCAACATGAAATAATGGTTTCTTACAAAAGATTGATCAGCAGGATGCTGTAGCAAGCCTATTGCGTCGTGTTGCATAGATGTTGGGAAAAATGTTCCTGGGCCCGTTGGCTTTGACACTAGACCCTGTGATAGGCTCAAACATTTCAACAATAACTAATGAAGCCAATAAACACAACAATAATTCAAAGCTTCATTTTCATTTAAGTCAACGAATAATTGGATAAACTAACTCTTAAGAAGACATTTATCGGATATCACCTTGAAATCCGTGTTTACTAACTGCAAAAAAATGTTGAGTTCTCTGCAAATCTGAAACCAGTTTAACACTCACCTCAGCATCAGTTTCAGAAATGTTTTCAGCATTGTTATTCACATCTTCGTCTTCATCATTCTCTTCCTCTTCATCCTCATCTTCAACAACCTTCAAATAATTTGTGTTTTCATCATCTTCATCTTCATCATCATCATCCTCTTCCTCATCATCCTCGTCTTCATCAACCTTCAAATAACTTGCATTTTCATCATCTTCAACCTCATGGTCATCTGAAGAACTAGCTGTTTCATCATCCTCATCATCATCCAAATCACTCACAGCTTCTTCCTCTTCTTTCTCAAGCTCATCCAGCCTTGCCATTAATTTAGCATCTTCATCTTCTTCATCAGGAACTAAAGAATTATGTGCTTTTGAAGAGCTCACAAAACTTGTGTTTGAAAGACCTGTGCTTTTCAAAGAAAAGGCTTCAGAGTTGTGATGAGGGAGGCAAAGAAGAGAATGAGAGTTTTCAAAATTTTGGATTTTTCTTGTGGACGAGTGTTATGAGGCAGGGAAGGTTGTTTGGTTGGAGAGATGAACTTTTCCACGATACCAGATGTTTCTAAAATGATGGCATGTGCATGCTAATCTAGCATCAAAACAACCTGGATTTTTTTATGCAAAAACACAAGGGTTCAAATTTAAATCAAGAGTATTTAGGGTCGATATAATAATTTATTTAAATCATTGCTTACCATTCGCAAGGTATGCAAATTCAGCTCAATTAATAATTCCAGCCAGGAATATCATTTTCAGGGGCAGTTTCAGTCACAGAAAACTTAATCTAAAGTACAAGAAGTAAATTTTGTCAGTTCGGTTAAAAGTTGATGAATCTAGTTTACATTATAGTTCATTGTGTTCAAAATCTGTGGCCTAATAAATACAACAATATTTACAGCAATTACTTTACAGGGAATTATTTCATACTGTGTTACATATGTAGCCAACTAAACAGACACCTGTTAAGAATATAAACTAAACACACTTGTTAACAATATATACTTTACCTTTTAGGATGTTTCTGCACTGCACTTAACACTTTCGATTATAATGCACAAAAATCACAAACATATATATGGCTGTAATTTGATCTATCGCATCAATAATAACCATAACATTCTATACTAGAATTTTGCACATAAGACTAGCTCCTCAAATCAACTAACTAAATATTCTTAAAAAGAAATCTGAAGTATAAGCTGAACTGTAAACTTAGCTCTCTCTCCCTCACACTAACAAAACCAAATATTATTTAAACAATAATCATAAAAAAATAGTACAACAAAATTACATTAACTTTGTAGAGATACATGAGAGACAGTATAATAGTCACACATCGAAAGTTAAACGAGAGTTGAGCTTCCAATACTCTAGTGACAACACTAACCCATTGGCTTAAGTATTTGGCTTGATAGGTGTTTATCATGTTTCGGGTTCAACTTAAGTTCCTAATATCCAATCCCACCTAACAAGTGATATCAGATTTAATGATTTAGCTAGAATAGAGGTTTCATGTGGCCCATGGCTCCCAAGAGTTTCAACTTTATACTATGATAAAGCAAGATTATCCAAATGTTTAATTGGACTCTTGTTGAATGACATTTAAGGGTGTTGAAAAGTTTATATTGTGATGACCAATGTAGATTACTCTCATGCATAAGAGAGATTGTTAAAACATTCATTAAAGCGGAGTATAATGTCACATTAGAGGTGCAACAAGAGTTGAATTCCTATTATAATAATAATGACCCATACTCTAGCCTAAGCCTTTGGACTGATGGGTGTTCATCCATTGATCCAAGTGTTTAGTCTTTAGCCATTGATATCATCCCCCAAAATTGAATGTTGTTTTAATAATTAATAAATATCATCAATAATCAAATTTATAAAAATAATTCAAGTATTTAGGTTCAAATTAGGCTCTAATATTCCCCACCGCCCATCAAAGTTGACTATTGTTCAAAAAATCACTAAACATCATTAAAAAAATCAAATTTATAAAAAAATAGAGCTATAATTATCAAATTATGATACCAAATATAACAAGCAAAACCAAAAGCACACATTACACATCCCTTCTCATTTGGAAAAAAAACTTCATATCTTCTATTCAACAAATCTAAAGAAAACTGATAAAATCAAGTTTAATACTAGAATTTACCTGTTTTAGGTTCCTCACTTTGAGTTTCCTCAACATACTCTTCTCTTATTTCCACTAAACCTTCCTGAACAAGAGAATAAAAAAAATAAATGCTAAGTAAACAAATTTAACATAAGAGCGTATAAAGAATCAACAGTTAAAGCCCTGACATTAACAAAATACATCTTAGCTATCATACACTTTGATGGAAGAAAAAAAGTCAAAGGTGGCATTCAGATCAATTTCTAAGAGCACATCAAACATATACATAGTCAGCAGATATACTTTTAGTTAATGTTGCCATAAAGTAGCCAGAGTCGGAACACATATGAAGGTCAATTGACAATTAGAGAAAGTTTTCACATATTTTGGCAAGTTAAATGAGAGAATATATTTTATACTCTCAAGTATATTGCATGTGGTGATAGGCAACAACTTTCCTTGCAAATAGCAAATCCTACCTAGATATGTAAACAATATAGAAATCATTACTTCCCATGCATCATCATGACCCTACCAAGAACATATAACGACAAGGTTCATCAACTCTAATTGTGTTTCAAAAGTATTGCATTTTCATCAACAACTTGCATTAAAAAGAATAGAATAAGCAATGATTATACAAAAGAGTTGGTGGATAAAAGTAGTGAAGAATAAATTAATTAGATTGGTCATATACAGCAAGATGTAAAGATGCATCAATAAGGCAAGTAGATAGAAAATGTTAAAGAAAAAAGAAAAAAAAAAAGGCTAGAACTTGTATTTAAAGATTAAGACTTACATAAACTAGAGTCAGCACTCAATAGGAATAAGTGGAAAAAAATAATCCATTAGGCCGGGCATAAATAGTTGGGATAAGGTTGGAGCTAATGATGATGATTTATGTCAAAATTTTCATTTGCAGTACATTAGACCCGAGAAACTTGGAAAATTATTTCAAAAATTAACAACGATGGAAACACCTTAGAATCCAGAAAACGCGTTGACATTATAAATGTTGAACATAAAATAGATAACCCAAGGAGGAACAGAGCCAATGGAAGAACAAAAGTACTTACAGCAACTTCAGCAGCAGTTGAATCAAAAAACTTTGCCTCGGCTTCAAGATCCTTCATTATCTTGTTCAACGACTCAACGTGCCCCTCCAGAGACTTCCCCCTCCGCTGAAGGATCTCCACCGTTTGCTTCGCAGTCCTCTCTGCATAGTAGCTCTCGCCCAATAATACCTAACCAAATGCGAATCCCCAAAACTTCAACCAAACGCCCAGTAAAATTGATGGACAATCACCAATTTTTTACAAACTCATACCAAGAACTCATTAGTGTGGATCAAACGACCAGGAAAGAAGGCAGCGCCGCCGAACGGCACCTGAGCGTGAATCAAACAAACAAAAGATGCAAGCATGAGAGTGAAAATAATGTGTTGGAAAAGAATCAGAGAAGGCGCGTGCATGTGAGAAGTGGCGTGCCATGATGTCGTGGGATAGCTCGTCGGGGAGCTTCTGGACTTGGTGGATCAAGGCGGAGTTGTCAGAGATGAATTCGCGAAGGCGGCATAGCTCTTTCCGGCGGTCCTCTATGGCCTCCTCCCCCCGCCGCGCCGCCTTCTCCGCTTCTTCAGAAGTGAACAGAGAGTCCAACGATGTCACAGTGCCCATCTTCGCGCCTTCCGCCATTGTGATACCGACCGCACAGCGAAGTTGGCTGACGATCAAACCGGCTGAGGGCTGAAGCCCCGCATCCTCCGCTCAGCAATTTAAATAAATTGGACAATATTTTTGTATTTATATTTAATTTTTTATTTATCAAACTGAATATGAGTTTATCATAAATATAAATTTTTTATTTATATAAATATTATAATATATATTATATATTTATATAAATATATATTACCAAATAAGATATATTTAAATAAATGCCCAACATTTTATAAAAATGAGAAAATAACTTATTGAAAAATATACTGGAATAAAAAAGCAAAGCATATAAATAATAATAATAATAAAAGAAATCAATAAAAAATTTTATCTAAATTCACATAAATTTCATTGAGGTAACTTTATTATTAATTTTTAAAATAATTTTTTTATATAAAAGTTGATTTCTTTTCAACAGCTTTAAAAAAATCATAATTTTATTTTGGGTACATTAAAGTTTTATTTATATGTATTTATAATGATTTTGATGCTTTAAAATACTCTTTTATTTTATTTATTGAATAATGTCATTTGATATTCAATAAAAAATATAAAATTAGAAAAAAAATTATAAAATAAAAGTCATAATAAAATTTGAGATTATAACAATTGCATATCTTCCGTGATCAAAATATTTCGATAATTTTCATTATTCAAGTATACTATTAATGGGTCGGACATGGGCCCGACCCGCCCGATGAGATTCTCCGGTTCAGCTTCTCTAAAGAGCCACTATATAAGGCATTCTACGGACCGCGCCGCTTTACCCTGTGATTTTCGTCGACATTTCCTCGACGTCGCAATAGCTTTCAGGTACTTCTTCGTTCATCCATCTCGCCCTTTTCATCCAAGCAAAATGATTCATAAAACAAAATTTCCCCTTCATAGATCTGATAACCAGTTTTTACCTCTCTGTTATATGCCAATTGATCTTTTCTCTTCAGATCTTTTTTTTTAGTGTAATTGTTCTCTGCGGAATGGTATTAGTAGTGATAGTTGGTTGAAGGCTGATCTTAAGAGCTTTTAGATGTGAAAATTGTTGTTTCCGTCTATCAATTACTGGAATTTGCTTGCAAAACAAGTTTTTGAGAAATTACTTTTTTTCTTGTAGAATGAAAAAGGAGTGAAGGGATCATTAAACGTTAATAAATCGAATCTCTTGAACTGTTGGTTATCAAGATGAATAGAATATTTCATTTTTTGCTTGTGCTTATTGGATTAAAAATCTCAGTTTTGTGGCTAGCTCATGCAGATGTTGTCTGGTTTGGAAATTTGTTTCTTTCAACTGTTGGAGTTCGTTCTGAATTTTGAGTTTGTGATTACTGATTGGTGATGGTGTGTTCATAGTTTATGGGGGGTTTTAATTTGTTGTTAATGTAAGTGGGATTACTAACTGATGCAGGACTAATTAGATGCGCTGATTATGTAGTCATTTAGGCATTGCACAACTCTTAGATTAGAATAAATCCAGGAAACAATTACTTAGCAATTCTCAACAAAGATTCAAAACAAATAAGGAAATGATTTGCTCAAGTGAGATTACATGCTCTGAACTTTGAAACTTACAAAATAAATAAGAAAATCACACAACGCAAACAGTAGGCTTCAAATTAATCCCTAATCTAACAACGAGACGTAGGATGCATAGAAGATTACACTCAATTCCTACAAAAGACTAAGCTTGGCAAGAGCAATTTGAAGGAGCTTTCGTGATTACAACCATCCAATGAGAATTTAGATTTAGAAGAAATAATATGCAAGTGAAAAGGAGAACCTTTGCTTAAGGAGATGCGGAGATCCTCCACGATAGCAACTACTCTTGAAGAATGTCCAAGGTTGGAGAACTACGATGTTCTCTTCAAGGTGTGCTGAAGAAATAATCCAAGTCCTTCCAAAATCTGAGAAAGTTCTCAGATTTTCTAGCCAAAATCTGGATGGTCCTTCAGGAAATAGTTACGGAAGTAATCCACATGTGAAACCAAGGTGGAGAGGAGGTATGAGAGGGAGGAGGTGATACGGATAACAGAGGGAAGGCCGGCGGGATTGAAGGCTTGGGAAATTTTATTTCCTAATGTCACGTTCTCACTTAGGAAATAATTTAGAACTTGGGCTATGTGAGAGTTTCGGCCAAAAGGTGAGAGAACAGGATTTGAAATTGTTTCCAAATTGATGGGTTTAGAGTTTAGGAAATAATAAATTGAAAATTTCTGGGTTATTGGAGAGGAGCCGGCGGCAATATCATGGGAGATTGGGGTTTGGTGCCATGTGTACAAGCTTGCCTAAAATAGATCGGAACTTAGGAAAGTATTTAATTGACTCTATTTAAATTTGAATTCAAAATAGTATCAATTTAGAAACTTTCCAAAAATAGATTAACTAATTTAAGAAAGATTTCAAACTTGAAAATAAAACAAAGGGGCTTTAAATAGCCTCATACAAAAGACTCTAACTGACATGACACAATTGCCCTTAGGCTTACACATGACCATTCCCATACAAAGGGGTACAAAGGGAAATAAAATAAACACTCATAAGCAAATAATAAAATGCATGAAAACAAAATACATCGACTCAAAAATATAACGACTCGATCGTGGCCATAGATTGGCGGCCACGTCGCTGGTAAACTCTCCATGATGATCTGATGTCCCCATCACTAACCCTAGAGATTAGGTATTCTTAAAGCTGAAATAAGAATTAATGCAATCATCTTTGTCTGGTTTCAAGAAGGGCGAGGTTAACACATGGCCGTTACAATAGCATCAAAATCTGGCGGAGGATGGCTTAGGGATAGGTAAAATTACCAAATTGACTTAGTTAATCATGATTTGATAATCTAATCAGTCAAAAAAAAACCTCTTATGCTAGATTAAGCATGACATTCATATGTAAGCCTAAATTAATGTTGAACCAAGCAACATCTTTATACCTGTGCGTGTGTACACGAGCATACGCACTCACACACAAAGAGAGAATTAACTTTCACTTGGTGGCTATGGCATGAAGGATTTCTTTGCTCCTTGCTTGGGTTTAAAATTGTATATGGCCGTGTGCTGTGTTTTTTAAATTTCATTTGTGACCACATTACTGATGTAAATAAGTTGAGTCAAGCTTGAATTAGTTCGTCTTGAGCTTGATTAATTAGTCAAATTTAAGCTTGAGCCCGAGCTCAATTTTGAGTAGGCTCACAATTCAACTCATTTATTATGAAAGAGATAAGCTCCTATTTCTAGTTGTTGTGGCAATTAAATTTTAAGAAAAATAGATAGATTTATGTGATTTGGACGAGGAAAAAAAATAAGAAAATGTTCCCTTTAGATTGATAAATTTAATGTTGAAGGATTAGGGAGGAAGAGGGATATATGAAAAGTAAAATTGATAGAAATTATACAGAAAGGCTGTTAGATTAAGTTTAAATATCTTGAATTACTTGTAGAAATGAGTGGATAATAAAGATCATAATGCCACCCCTAAATAGGTGAGGCTTGGCTAACTATGATGATGACATAGGTGTATGAAATTGACAAGGATAACATTTAATTCAAACATAAGGGAGAATTGCTAGGTCATTTGCAACAGCTGATGGTAAAACATAAATTCAAATAGTGATAAGTGCAATTAGCAATGTTTATTGACGCTAGCATAGCAATTCAATAATTATGCACTCTAGAAGTTGATGTGGATACCACATTCATACAACTATACTATAAATAATAAGCTGGCATGATTTCTCATCAATCCTAAAGTAGGTCTGAAAAATTATATTTCTTTGTCAATTTGCATCAACTTTAGGGTGGCATGGACATTAAGAAAGTCCAATGAGACAATCTCAGCATCACAGATATTTTGACAAGGTTCATGAATATCCTCATGTTCATTAACTTATCATCAACATGAATACTATGTGCTTTTTCGCGGATGCAATTTGAATGTATGATACTTTCCAACAAAGATCAAAGATGTTCAATACAACTCAATAATTGCATAATTTTGACTCATATACAAAAACCTCACCACAAGATCATTCCAATAAAGAATTGAACACACCGCATTTCTAATGAGTATAAGCTCGGAGCTTTGGATAAAAAAAATTGTGTAGGTTCTAAGGAGGGGATGCGCACAAGATTTTCCTCTCCATTTGTACAGTGGTGATTTTCATGACTCGAATATGAGACCTCGATGTTTGTTGGAGTGAACTCAACCACTAGTCCAGGCCCACCCTCCTTTGAGCTTTGGAGAAGAGGACCTAATTATAGTGAGGTTGAAATTTATATTATAGGTGTTTATTATTTAAGTCAGTTTAAGCAACTGCTGATGTTAATCAGTGGTAAATTGTATACAACATGGTTTATGGATGGTGTAGATTTATTTGCTTTTATAAAACTTCAACGATTCTCTTCATATAACTTTACAGAACTTCTGTATTTAATTTGACATATCTGGCGCTTATCTTAATCTTTTGGTTTATGTTAGCAGACTTAGTCATGGAAGAAAACAACTCAAATGGCCTATCATCTGGAGAAGCTGTGCTGTTGGGAGCTTTGGCATCCGGTGTTAACGTGTGTATAATTTCTACACTAAGAATCTAATTAATTTTACTTGTGAAAACTGTGTTTTTGTTATCTATCACCAATCTTTACCTCAACCTTCTATTTTCTTATCGTATTAATGGTGTTCTTCCTGTATTAGTGAATCTGATCGTCATTTAAATCATTTTATCCAGGCTCCAACTTGGGCTGTTCTGAAGATTACGTTTATGATGCTTGCCATTTGTCTTATCGCCATGCTTTCCTTAGCATTCATATCCAGCGATTTTATTATAGTTGGTCACGTCATCTTGCTTGTTATCATTGGGGCTGTGCTTTTCGTGCTCCTAAATGGGTAATTCACTCCACTTCATAATTTTATTTGTACTTGGCGCATGTTTTACGTTTGTAAATATCTTAATCATGCTATATTCCTGTGAGCAATTTCTTAAAGTTATTTAGTTTATTCAATCATTTGGATTATCCATTCTGTTTATTTGTTTTGGTTATTGTAATGTAACGAGTTTGATTGTACTATGAGTGATATTAAAACATTTGAAAACACTCCGCAATAATCTTGTGTTAAAGTACATTTGTCGTGCATGTTAGGGCAAAGTAGATAGCACATTCAAATATGTTTATTCTGTCATTTCATTTGATCTAATTCAAAATATCCCTACTTGGATTACCAAAAATATCTTTTTGATTAAATTCAAGTAGAACTTCTTGAGCATTAATGATGATGGTGATGATGATATAATGATGGTGATGATCATCATCATCATTTTCTTTACACTTATTGTTATCATTTTATCTGTGTCAGCTCTATATGAGGCTTTGATTATAGTTTACCAAGCGTTCTTTTTTTTTTTTTTGGTTATTTCTAATCTAACCTATTTTGCTTACCATTTCATTCACATTGATTGCATGCCTTATGGTTGCTTCTTCAACCCTTTTTTAGTCATTTTGATACATTTGTCTTTTTTAGGGATAGAGGTTTGTGACTATGGGAAACTGATGGACCGGAGGGGAGTATTGGTGGACCGGCTAATTTTATTGGTAGAGAATTGAGAAGTTTCCTAATCAAGAGGAAGCTGTTTAGGAAGGTTCTTAATCAAAGGGAATTAATTATGAGATGTTTCCAAATTGAAGAGGGCTAATTTTGGGGCTAATTTGGAGGGGATTAATTAGAAAATATTTCCTAATTGAAGAGGGCGGATTTGGGGGCTGATTTGAGGGCTGATTTTGGAGTGGATTAATTAGGAAATATTTTCTAATTGAAGAGGGCAGATTTTGGGGCTGATTTAGGAGGGAAATAATTAAAAAAATTTGGCAGATTTTGGAGTGAATTGGGGGAGCGCTGTTTGGGTATTTACTTACTTTAAGTAGTTGATTTACCCTAGGGTTATGGTTATATTTTGTATGCATAATTTTATGAGTTGTTATTGTTCATTATTTTTGTGAGGAATTTTAGCGGTGTCTAGGATTTAAGAGAGAATGTTCTCTCGAAAGAGGATCATTATATCTTGCTTATTCATATTTCTTGTTTTATCAATAAAATTTGTTGGTTTTGCTGAATTTTAATGTTTGTTCCCTGATTTTTTGTGGTCAAAACCTATCAAATTGATGGAATTAGAAACTTGAACTCATATCTTAAAGTTTTCACAGACGATGACAAAACATTTGGGTAATGTATTATCTCTAATCAATCTTCCTTCTAGAATTTAGACTCGAAACTTAATAAGTTAAAACTAAAACTTTTCTTGAACCATGCGAAGAGGCTGGGGTATGAGCTTTTCGGAGCCTACAGTTTTTAGATAAGTACTATGTATCGTGCATGTAGTAGTAGCAAATTTAATATAGGATTTGAAATTTACAACCTTGCACTTAAGGCGGATGGTGGTGGAGTGATGATGAATTTGATCAAAATCCTATGATTCCATCATCCCGTGCTATTGTGGTCTTTTCCCATTGTATCCACTGTAGGTTTTGCTATGATGATGATGATGATGATGTTTTTTTCAAGTGAAATTTCTAACCTCTTGTTTATAGCTCTTTTTTATTTATCTCTTAAAAGAAAAACTAATAATGATTCCCCTGTTACAATGAAATATTATGACAATTGATTATATATATGGAATCCCCAAAATATCCTTGATAAAATAACTCTCAAATATTGAGAACTTTTTGCAAACTCGAATCCCTCTTCTAACCTCTACATTGGTGACCTTTCCAAGAAGCTTGATCTGCATTCTGAGTCTATGTATGTTGTTCCTTTGCAGGACATTAATTAGGGTTCATAGCTTAAGAGAACCTTGAATGAACAATAAAAAGCACACAAAAATATCTAGTTGCACATCATGTATCTTCCACTGATATCTTTTCATAGACTAAGCCGAAAGAAGCAGATGGAGGTGACATTTTTGGAGAGAATCATAAGATATATTGTTCCTTCTCCCAATATGGAATACCTAAATTTATCTCGAGCAAGGCCACGTGACCTTATTTAACGGTAAAAACTTAATGCTGTTATCCGTTTGGGATCATCTTGTATATTGGAAATGAGTCATATAAGCCTTAATGAAATTTTAAAAGGAATGCAAAATCTAAGAGGAGCATTTTGAAAATTGTGGTCAATAACTCAGACACGAGGGCAATTTATCTTTCTTTTTTTTTCTTTGCTTACTACATGATGGTGAGACCTGCAATGTTTTATGGCGCCGAATGTTGGCCATTAAAAGAGAAGCATTTAATTGAGTCAATTATAAAAATAAAAAATAAATAAAAAAAAAAAGAGAAGCACAATACTAAGTGCCTCAAAGATGAGGATTCTCAGGTAGATGAGTGGGTTTACCCTTAGAGATAGAATATGAAATGAGCATATATGTGAAAAGGTTGGAGTAGCTCCAGTGGAAGATAAGATTAGAGAGAGTTGTCTTAGATGGTTTGGTCACATAAAACTGTGGCCTTCCGATGACCCGGTTGGGAAAGTAGAGATATTAGATTTGACTTATGTTAAGAAATGTAGAGGTAGACCTAAAAAGACTTGGTTAGAAAATATTAGAAATGATCCTTCTTTATTAGATTTCAACGAGAATTTGATGTTTAACAGGACACAATGGAGAAAAAAGATTCATATAGTCGACCCCACCTAGTGGGATAAAGGCTTGATGTTGTTGTTGTTGTTGATTGTTTGTTTACTACATGATTATTTTGATCTCCCCCACATAACTTGCCACTTAGATAAACAATGCTTACCATCTGACTCTCAAATCACCCTGATACAATTTTATTTCTTTTTTTTTTCCTGCAATATCATTTTATTATTCTTTTTCCTTATCTTAACAACTCTTAAATTATAAGTCGCAACTTTTTTTTTTTTCTCTCCTTTGACATCCTTTATGCCATTCTAGAATTTATGCTTCCTCTTTCATAAGTCTCTCTTATGAAAGAGAGACTTAGATGATTTGGAGTAGCTCCAGTAGAAGATAAGATTAGAGAGAGTTGCCTTAGATGGTTTGGTCACATACAACGGCGGCCTTTTAATGACCCGGTTAGGAGAGTAGAGGTATTAGATTTGACTTATGTTAATAAAGGTAGAGACAGACCTAAAAAGACCTGGTTAGAAAATATTAGGAATGACATTTCTTTATTAGATTTAAACGAGAATTTGACCTTTAATAGGACACAATGGAGAAAAAGGATTCATGTAGCCGACCCATGTAATGAGATAAAGGCTTGATATTGTTATTGTTATTGTCTTTCATAAGTCTCTCTTTAAGCCACAACTTCAGTTTTATTATTAAATTCTACAATTTGAAGGCTATCTTTATCTCTCTTTAATTCAATGGAATTTTTTTCTCGTTATTGTTGTTACATAGAAATTGCTAGTTGGAGATATCCATATTGTCTTTAAAAATAGAATTTCTAACCTTTAGTTTTATTTTCATGAAGCCTTTCACTTCGATAGCAAATTAGGCTTAGTTTGAGACAGCTTTCTTACTGCTTTCTAAAGCAATTTTTTACTATAAATACATATTGAACTAAAAAAAAATCTCTTAAAAAGCAGTAAGAAAACTATCCCAAACGAAGCTTTAATTTGCCTCGGAAATCAATAATATATCCGAACATCTCAAACCTAAACAGATAATGAATTTTATTTTGCAGCTTTCTGGCACAGACCGGGCTGGTATCAGTAGAACAACAAATTGAAGAGATGGGTATCTCTCAAAATGATAGACACTTGAAAGACAAGAAAAAGTAACTCGATGAACTGCACATTATCAAATAAAAATCATCCAGAAAAAGAGAACTCAGACCATTTTATAACCAACACTCGCTGAATAATGTCTTAGATAACACTGTAAAACTACACTGTAATCAGTCTTGTTTGGCTTCCTTCTCCTTAGGCTTGCTTTGCTTGGTCTTCAAGAAGCAGAAGCAAGAGCAACACGGGCATTGAAACATGAACTTCATCTCTTCTCACCTCTTTCAACTCTTTACAGAAAAAGAGAAAAACTCTTGAGGAATTCTTCTTCTACACTGCCATTTAAATGCTCTGGAGAGGTTCCTTTCTGAAGGAAAGATGCGCACAGGAGTTCGACTGTAAAAGGAGGTATGGCCTTCTGATTGCCCCTCTTGGTCTGTATCTCTCACTTCGAGGTTGTTATTCGCTGCTGGGGAAATTATAGTCCTTGATATAGTTTTTCTTTTTGTAGGGCATCTTAGGTTGAGTAGTAGATATTCAGTAGCAGATCTTCGTGTCTATTTGTCAGGCAAGGGAATATTTCCTTGCTGTCCAATGGCTGCTTTTGAAAGCAGATTTTAGGCATTTGCTTTCATTAAGCAAGTGAGAAATTATTCTGTGCGGAGGCCGGATGCAGCTTTACATCCGGAGACGAATCAGGTGTAGTCACGTCAGCGGTACCGAGCTGCGGTACGAAGCAATACTACGTTGCGGTACACAGCGAAGGGGTGATGTTGCACATTCTGGTTGGTTTTCATACTGTGTTTGGCGTCCGCACAGAGTAAATAATCCAAGCAAGTAATAAATTACTCCATAGGGTAAGTTTTGGGTTTGCTTGTAAAAATAAATATGAATCATTGAGCGATTTTTGTGTAATAATTATAAAATTGTTATATTAAAATTAGTTTTTTAAAGATTAAATAAGATTTTTTTTTTTTTTTTTTTTGTTAATTAGACAGCAGCATTCTTACCACTAATATAGTAAATATATTTGATAATAAAAAATAATTTTTATTATAAAATTTTTTAAAACTAATACAAAAATTTGGCCAAATAAATTTATGGTTGTTCAATAAAAAAAATAAATCTATAAAAAAGTTGTTGCAAACATTCTCTTAAATAATAAATATATTATTACATGTAAATGTTGGACACAGAGAACCGTTCTGTCTTATTTCTATGAACAATAAAAGCATAATGGCAGCCCAGAGACAAATCTGATGGTTTTCTATGTCTGATCTCTGGATGTAATAATTTCTCTAAACGAAGATTTAGCCCAATTGTGTGAATTTTCTTTGATAAAAATTATGAGAAAAGAATAGAAATGGTTCTCTAACTTATTATAAATGATCAAAATAGTTTTTGATTATATAAAAATATTGACTTTATAAATAAAGATTAAATAAAAATAATTTATTTTGATCTTTTATCTCTATAAATAATTAACATGGTTGAAATATAAAAGGTTGGTAAAGGTACGATGGCAGGCCATGGCTGATGTAATACCGTAGCACGTACCTTAGCGATTAATATGTAGGAAGGATTTGTCCAACTGTGGGAGTCACCATTGCACATGGCCATGCTTGCTGGCCTTACAATTCATACTTCTGAAAAAGATCCCTAGGCAAATATACCATGTCACGTGTTTCTGTTATTTAAATTTTAGGGTTTAGGGAACATTTTTCCATGGTCGCTATTCCCAAGGCTTAGTAACCTCAGATTTTTTTTTCATGCTATTCATTTTAGTTACTTCATTTTATTTTGGAGTGTTTAGGGCATCTGGAATTGAAAATTTTAGTTTTCACTCTAAAATGTGATTAATTATTCTGTGCGGACGTTGAACATATTCCGAAGAGCAATCAAAATGCGCCACTTCATATTTTGCTCTGTATCGCAACTTGGTACTGTTGATGTGACACATTCTGGTTGGTCTTTGCACAGAATAATTTCTCCTAAAATGCGGTGACTCTTCTCCAACAAAACTCTATTTCATAACATCCAAAAAGAATTTTTGGGTATATTTTGTAAAGTCCATATTGGTTGTTAGACATATGCTAATGTCACAAGGCTAATCAAGAGGGGGGAGGGGGTGAATTGATATTTTAAAAATTCTCTTGATAAATAAGGTAAATTTGATTTTTATATTTTTTGCAAAATTAATTTTTCAATCACAAATACTAAAATGTTGAGAAATAAAAATGTGAAACACTCCCACAAATACTCTTTCACTTGCTCTTGAAAAATCATGAAGAACAACTCTTTTCACGTTAGTTTTAATAGACTTGTTATATCAAAGACACAAAAAATTAGTCAGAAAACCGAAAATTGACATTTTGAGCATGTTCAATCGTGCTTCGTACGTACGAGTAGTTCAAAATTTTTCATGTACGAAGCTGTACGAAATATTTTCGTACACACTAATCATCCAGTATGAACTGTAAGAATTTTTTTTTTATTCATCGGGACAAAAATGTTCCCCACATCGTACTCTAGACGTCGCATGTACGAATAGGGCATCGTATAATATGATTCATTAAGAAAAAAATTGGCGTTCGTCGGGACGAAAAGGGACCCTTCAAATTCGTACTCTGGACGTCGTCTATATGAACAAGGTATCGTATAGTACGATCCGTTCAAAAAATTTGGCGTTCATCGGGACGAAAAGGAACCCGTCCAATTCATACTCTGGACGTCATCTGTACGAAGAATCCTTCGTACAGTACGATCAGATCTTAGAAAAATTTTCTTCTTGCAGTTCCTTAATCTAATCTGATTTGAAGTCTTCAACAATCTTGAGTATGATTTCTCTGAAATGTTAGTACACACAAACAACAAAAGCAATACATCCAAAATATGTTAGGAGAAACTGTAATTTAAGCAATAATATTTTGAATCATAAAAAATATACATGTTGCAAGAATCTCAACAATCCAAAAAACTAAGTTGCAATAATCTCAACATATTTTTCTTTCTCCAACCAAAAAATGGCATTTGTGAACAGTGCGAGGTCAATATTGGGGTCACACTGTTCACGTTACAAGAATAACATAGGTTTTGCTTTCATGTGGAGCACCTTGCGAATGGCAAACGTTGATTGGTTGGAGATGGCCTTAGACAAACCGAGCTAATCACTTGCTTGTGTTGTTGTTGTCGTTTTTTTTTTTAGGTTAAGTTTTTTTATTTTTATTTTAATCAAGAAGGTTCTATCCCTTCTTTTTTGTGGATTTGAATGTTCTTCAATTGATACTCTTCATCTTTAGGATTAATAAAATCTTTTGAAAAGAGAAATTATTAGAATGGTCTCTTCTGGATGATTTATTTTAAAATTAATATAATGTAAGACTAATTTATAATATTTTAATTTGAAAGTAAATTTAATGATTTCAAAGTTTATATTGATATAATTTATATTAGCATAATCTGAATTGCTTTCCCTAAGATTTTTCTAGATAAGTTGTTGATGTGATTGTTTGTATGATTAGAAAAGTATAGTTGAAGTATGTGAGTTCATTTCCCAAAAAAAAAAAGTATGTGAGTTCTTATGAGTCAGGTTAGATGTGATAGAAAAGGGGTCCTATGACTATGAGAGGTGGAGTGGGATTAATAATCTTATGGGATGTATGTTGATGGAGAGTTAATTTCAAAGTTGTAGAGTATAGTTTACGAATAATTATTAGGTGCAGAGTGCAGACGGGGAGAGCACCGTCTGCACAGACACAGGGTACCAAGCGGTACCGAACGGTACCTAGCTGGATTTTATACTAGTGTGCAGACGGTTCTCCCCGTCTGCACTCCGCACATAATAATCTCTCATAGTTTACAAAGTGTGTTAATTACTAATCATGTTCATTTTTAATATTAAGAAGTTTTTTTTAATATTTGATTGATTACTACTTTTAAATTATAAAATATTAAATTCCCCAAAAAATAATAATAATAATAAAATATTCTATTGCATATTGTAAACATTCTTATCATTTGCTTGAAATGTCATATATGATTATGTCTTGCATGTTAGTCAAAAGAAAGTAAGGAAATGAACGTTTTAGTATGGGTTATGCATTTTTCCATAGGATCTTTTGGAGTCAATGCTAAGGCTTGGCTTTGAGGTGTTGACCTAAGGAACTATAATGGAAACCCTAAGGGCACTTTGGATAGTGTTGACTCCTATAGTCAAATAGTTTTGATAATTAGAGAAACATGATTTTAAATACCTCTAAAATGGATTAGTGTTACTTAAAATCAAAGAAAAATTTTCAGGTTTAGGTTTGAATGTTAATGTTCAAATTTATGGTCTTAGTTTTTTTAGGTTAATCATGAGTTGACCATGGTTAAAGGGCTTGACCATGGGTCAACCATTAATCAAAATAATCCTAATATGAATTAGAATCATTATGATTTTTTTTTTTTTTATGAATCAGAATCATTATGACTCAGGACTAAAGCTACATGCTTAGGTTTGGGAACTTGTATTGGATTTAGGATTCTTTGAGGTTTGGGTCAAACTTCTATTAACCATTATTCGAGGGATTTAATCATGGGTCAATCTTACATAAAAAAATTATTAATATGGATTAAGTGTGTTAAACCTCGAGTTCCAAGTCAAATGATCATATTTGAATATTTAAGATAGGTTTTAGGTTAAGTGTTGACTTGGGTTAAACCCCTTCTTGGTCAAAGTGGTTTATTAAGACTCCTTGACCCATGGGGTGGGCATAGGAGTTGGTTCAAAGTCTCTATGGTAAGTCTTAGTGTTAATAATAAACTAGGGTAAAACTTAGTGTTTAGGTTATTCAAGCAATTTTAGTTTAATTTTTTTTTTTTTTTTGGGTTTGACATAGGGTTGACTTTATAGGGTTCACTACATACCTAGTGTCTTAAAGCGCCTATGCAAAGGGTCCTAGACACCTTCAAAGGCAAAACTAGGTTTGTCCTAGCATAAAGGTTTCAAAGATCCCATGGAAAGAAATATTCTAGGGTTTTAGCTTTTTAAGGCTAGCCCAAGCTGAATTTTAATTCCTAGAATAGAGGAAATTTATACCTCTAGTTGCTACCTTCTTAAATAAATAAATAATAATAATAATAATATGTATATGTATATGTAGATTAGGAATTTGATTAATCTAATGCAATTAGATCCTTGAATAGAGGAAATTTATATCTCAGTCCATTATAAGCCAAAAGTTATAAATAAACCCTTCTTTAGAATCAAGAAATACATAAAAATTTAATAAAAACAAAATAATAATGTTCTAATGTACAAGGTTTCATAAATAATTAAGTGATCAAAAGGACTCTAAATATTTTTATAATGATCTCTTATGATAATTAATTCATAAACTAGAAATGAGTATTTATAAAATATATATTATAGCTTTTAAGAAGTATTATGAATATCAATTAAAATATTGTTTAATAAATTCCTAAGTAAATGTGTTGGTTGATAAACTGATATATAAATAAATTAAGTTTAACTTGAATTAATTAATATTTCATTGACTAATAATTTAATTTGATTCATTAAATAATAGAATTAGTTGAATAAATAATTTTTTATTCCATAAGTGACCTCAAAGTTTCCACATTAAAAATAGAGCATTAACATATTTATTCTATATATTTTTTCAAAAAAAAGTAGTATGGCCTATAAACTTCAAAATAAATAAATATAATTTTAATATTAAAATTTATTTCAGATCATCAGATTAAGAACTAATCATTTTATTTATCAAAAGATTAAGAGTTACAATCAACAAAAAATGATATAATATAAAAGGATGATATTATATACTCAATGTGATAATAAATAGCCAACTAATTAGGGTTTCCTCTTAAGAAGAAAATGGGCTACAAAATCCATGTGGGGATATAGAAATTAATGCAATATTGTAGTTAAAAGAATGTTAAATAATTG